GCTTTTATGCTTTTATCTCATTCTTTGATATCCATAATGCTCAGTTCGTTTAAAGCTCGAGCATGAAAGCTAATTAATTCATTTGAGTAGTTTGAGTGTCTGAAAAGAAGGCAGAGGCTGAAGAATGGGTAAGCAGTGAAATTTCCTCCATGTTTCCTGTTGCTTGCTGCCCTTCAGTAGTTTCCATCAAACTCATGAATCTTATCCAAAGAACCCTCTATTATTATTGAGTCGCCAGAAAATCTTGTAATAGTCTTGTAATTATTGCTCAATCAATTTTGGAAGTTCGACCGTGGCCCCCTAATAGTTGCCTCTTAGTGCTCCATGCCTTTTTTCATAAACTCAATGAGTTCATCTAAATTCAATAATATACTCAAAGAAAAACCAAATATCAAAGCAGGAGCCACTTTTTTGGTTACAAATTAATTTGTCTTGCTCGTTTGGGGATTTTTGATCCCCAAAGCACAGATGGCGAGAGAGAGAATCCGCAATAGTCGCTTGATGATGAAAAACTCGTTGGAGGCATCTTATAAAACCCTGGATTCGCATTTTTGCTTGTCTAAAAGTCGCGAATAATAGAGCTTTCTATTTTCAATTCGGTTTATTTTTTAATTTAAAAGCAAGAAATTTGTTTTGAGGTGAAACCTGATTGCTTGGTTGAAAGCTCTGTTTCATGTTTGTTTCCTTTTGATTTCTTTTTTTTTTCGTAAACCAAATAGTCAATTTGATTGAACCGCGTATAGTCCTTTTAAGCCCTTCTCATTCTCTCTTATAATCTGAAAAGCCACAGATTCCTGGAAGTCTATTCTGTTGATGACAAATGCAGCTAATCAAACAGGCAGCACTTGAAACCGGGCTGTTTTGGCGTTACTCGTTTATAATCGGCTCAGGTTTGCATTCGCATATATTACAAGAGCTAGAAACATCATAACATTGTTGAGCATTTTTCGAGCGGTTCATTTGCCTTCGCAGTGTTTTGAAATTGTGTTATATTAATCGTTTCTCGGTAATGTCTTTTTATGAATAGCTTGATTTCTTAGAGCTATCAAATGTTCCAAGGCGACCCTTGATATCTCTTAGGAAAGGTACTTGATGTTACTCCAAAAGATCTTCTGCAATTTGTCACATAAAAATCTTACTGTCTGGAAAGAAATTGAATCCACTTAACACGATACAGAATACAAAGGAAAACGTCAGGGAAAGCCACCCTCGTGTCTATAGCCGGACAGTTCGGCTTTTCAAGAACTGCTGTAATTGACGTACTGCTCTCAAAATGTTTACATTAATAAACTCGCACATACTTGTGTAGTCAATAACAAATTTATTTTCGATAGGATAGATGTTCAGAATATTTTTGTTTTTTGTCAGTGAAGGGCTTGTCAATCTGTTAATTCTGCACCTCACAATAATTGGATATTTATTACTTCGTTTTCCTTTATTGTCAAGTATGTTCAGTATGTTCAGTTGTCACTTTGTTAGGCTAAAATAGAATTTTTGTGAATTTTTGCCATGTCATTCCTCTTTTTCCAAATGCTCTCCAGATTGATAGTGATTACAATATAGTTTATGCTCATAGCATGCTGCGAAGAATGCTAAGAACTGCTACGAAATTGTCGAACGTTATTTTCTAATGATCCATTCCTTGGAGGAAATTGTAGAATTTGGGGTTGCGCTGGATCAACCTAACTTATGATCTTTGCACAATCACCCGAGGTTTTTCATTAGAATTATAGCTGGTATTCGATGGCTTGAATGCTTTCTCCATAGCTTGCCATCGTAATTTGTAAGTAAGCGAGACACATTAATCACATTTAGCAAAGGCTACATTTCCAGGAATTGCTTTATAGGGTCACTTGCTTCTTAAGAACAACGGTCCTCGAGAGATATTCTTCTAGTGCACATCGTTGATGCTATTTTGGGCTCCATGAAAACTAATTATCAGCGAAATGTTAACGAGCTTGAAACATTGCGTGACAGATGGGAGTGCGTCATGTTCACATCCTTGTAACGCCAGTCAGCTCTCATAGATTCCTCACCGAAAGAACAAATAGTTGATATAGCACAATTTTCAAAAGCATCGAACAGAAATAGAGGTTGAATTGAATGATGACGTTAGAAGACAGTTTTTCAGAATATTTGTATGCACATGAAAAACAGAAAACCTGCCGCATCCCACGTAATTATGAGTACCATGTTCCACAAGAGAAAGACGATCCAAGAATATAGTGACTAATTGACATTCAACCAATAATTTAAGAGTAACAAATAATCACATTAACGATAATAATGATAGCAATAGTAATAGTAATGGTAATTTATAGGGGGCTTGCTCAAGAAGCTCACTGTTCCTCTATCCTCTACGTTCCATGTTTAAACTATGCTTCTTGTAATTTCCCCTGTTAAGATCAAATGTGGCCGAAAATCGTACATTTTCAAAACATGGTGACAACAGCCAAAACATCCATGAATGAGTTCGGATCATATTCGGATCACATTCGGTTCATATTGGGATCATATTCTCAAGTTGGGTTAGCCTTTTAGTAAAACAAATTAGTACATACTTCGTTTAGCAGAAGTTCGATTTTTTTTTCGAAAAAATCAACTGAATTCCGTCAAAATGCTCCTTTTGATGTTTGAAATTTAAGACGAATCTCGGAGATTCGTGACTCAAAGTGAAAAAACTTGGACAGATAAAAGTTATATAATATGATATCCTGTTACTTCTTACGTCTCTTTAACAAAGAGAGCTATAGTCCTGAAATTGTTGCATCGTTCATATAAAAGCAGGTTAACTCGGCAGGATGGTGGGACGCCTCCTGATTATGCGTATTTCAAGGTATTTTATGTGAGGTTTCTCTGTTCCCACTTTGCTGTAAAGGAGGCTGTAATTACCTCACGTAAGATAACTTTGCTTAAATATTAGTCTTTAACCGAAAAGCGAACCAAATACAAATGGAATGTTGCTAATTGTGTGCAATTACACTGAATAGTTCAAAATGAGGTCTACTGAAATCGACAACACCGCAGAAATCGAACATTGCACTACGAAACAAGTGGTTTCGGGAACTTTGATCGAGTTTTTAATATACGAAACAGGAGTAACGTGCTGTTGTCTGATAGCGCTGCTTATCCCACAATTACTCACAATGACGTCATTGTGTCACTTGGACGGTGTTGCACTTCACTCACTGTGAAGTTGGACGAGCTTGAGGTTGCGCCGGCGTCCCAACGTGAGAGATTTATACAGCAGTAATCATTGAGCAGCGATGATATCTGTTTCTTGTGAACTAATGCAACAGTGAGGCTAGTTCACGTAAGTACCATACATTCTCTCTTTTAAGTAGTCTTATCGCCCAAAGAAACTTGTAGGAAGCTTGTTATAGCAATGGAATAATTCTATGCAGTTTTTTTCCAAGTGCACTGAATTAACTTCATCCAACGAGGCTCTAAAGAAATGAAAATGAAATGAGCAAATGTTGCAAAGTCATCAGCAACAAAATGTAAGGCGCAAAGATGCGAGGCTGATTTGCAATATTCAATTCTTGTTAACTACTTGATCATCAACGAACTGAAAAGATCGTTCAGAAACCTGAAATTTCGACCCCCTAAAACAGCATACTCTCCGAGAATGAAAGGCAGAGACTTAAAGAGTGTCGGGATTGAAAAATGAGTTAGAATGTATTTGCCAGATCACACAGACTTTTTGGCATCACTTGACTGAAAACGATCCAAGGAATGTCTATCTGCTTATTTTTGCAACACCAATGACAGTGCACAGTGCTTGCTCATGGACGCCTGTTAATAAATTTAAGTGCTCTGTTGCAGGAAAATGAGCTAGGTACGCAAAGAGATTTTACTCAGATTTATTGGTTCCTTCCTTTATATGATTAAATTTATTTCTTCCAAGAACAAACTAAAGGAAAGAGAAGCCCTGGAGGGGTGCAATGGCATATAAGAAGATTAATCATGGGTAGATTGCAATGGAGCATATCCTTTTATTTATTCATACAACTGATACAAGTCTATATCTAAATAAAACATGTCCTATGCCCATTGGAGCGGATATTTGAACAAATTCTGTTCCTCCTCAACGTCGACGAAGACTGCATATTTCATAACATTTTCAAATTACCTGAAAACAATTTACCTTAACTAAGCGTTTCTCAACGGTTCTGCGAGGTACAGATATAAAGCTAATTCTGATTTACTGCTCGAAATTCTGGGGGATAACTCCTAGTGGGGTACTCAGAATTTTTCATTGTTCCACGCTCTTAACCAAATCATGTATCTCTTTATTTGAAAATCGAGCTAAAAGATTTAGCAACTTTCTCGGGCTATCTTTTCCTTAGTTAATGACCTCCGAGAGCTTACGATTGTTACAAAAATGCAAACATGACGTATCTAGATCTCGCTTCAGTCACGCAATTAATGTTTAAAGTGTCTTGTCGCTTTTCTTATTGCGGAATAAGACACCAAGTTTAGATTCAATCAGGAGTATTTAAGGAAGCTTAATTTATACCCTAGGCAAAACAAAGCACTCGCTAAAAATCTCTGATCCCGATCTCCGTGCGTAAGGCGCGAAGAATTTCAATTGCAGGAACTGGTTTTTTCAACTTTAATTTTTCGTCCTAAGTACTTTGCGAATATGCCACCAATGCATAATTTCCCTGTTGATAGGAATATGTCGCTTGACTCCCATCAATTGGAGAGCGTCAACCACCTAGCTTGGGCATATAGCCGTCCTCTCCCTAATTCATAGCTAGTGGACATACCAATGCAGGGTAAAAGAAGGATGAATTATCCCCCCCGCGTTCCCCCTTTCCTACACTCCCCTACCCTTATTTGACAAAGTTTGCAATGTAGTAGTTGGGATACGAGGGGTCCGTGACGTCAGCTATATTGGGGAAAAAAATTGTTTCTTTCGTCTTGAGGTGAACTGTTATGTCTACTGATTCCAGTTCATTCCTATTCTTCCTTACCAATAGATCAGAGCAGACACGATGTTTCTGAAATACTGCATACCACTGGCTATCCTTCTCGGGTATGGGCTTTCTAAGGGCGTGACAGATATTTCACGGCAATTGAATGGCACTGTCACTGGTAACCAGACCCTTACGCGTGCAGATGGTCCATACTTGGTCACCAGTGACCTTGTTGTCTCAGAAAATGCTAATCTTACCATAGAGCCTGGTGCAATTCTAAATTTTGTTCCATCTGTGGGGATTCGTGTTCGTGGATCGTTTCATGCAAAAGGGACACCGTCGCAGAGAATTACTTTCCGAGCGGTTCCCTGTGGAGAAACAAGTTTTTGCAATAAAACTGATGGGGCTTTATTCTACAGTCACGGGATAAGACTTGTAGATGGATCATCCTACAACAACGGACGCCTACAGCTGCAGTATAATGGAAGGTGGGGGACTGTCTGCAACGACTGGGGGTCTTGGGATCTCAGAGATACGCACGTGGCCTGCAGACATCTTGGCTTCCTTAGGGGAAAGCGGCATTACTATGATCGCGGTAGCGGCCCCGTGATAATGAAGACAGTTGGCTGTAAAGGAACTGAAAAGAGTCTATGGGATTGTTCTTACCATTCATCTTCGTGTGGTAAGTTCACTTTAGTCCTAAGCAATGCTTTTGTTGTTTGCCGCATGTACCTCTCCATGGAAATATTCTCTTTCTGGCCGTAAAGCAAGTGATTACCGACAAAACTATTTAATTTTTCCATGAAACCAAAGTAACTTAACATCTTTCTCTGTTTAATGACTTTAGTAATAATCTATTGCATGGGGTGAATATGCACAAGAGGGGATAGAAATATGCCTTCATATTTGGTCGGGTAAATTCTATTTAATTCATGTACTATGACAAGCTTTTACTACAAAAGTATTTTTCTCACTAAAAATCCTGTCTCACTAGTTATAAAGTACAGGTAGCAAATGCGCGGTTTCTCAACGTTTTAGTCACCGTTTCTGTGGAAGCGGGTACCGGAGACAACCTCTCCTCCGCAAAAACGTTCGTGATGTCTACATTAACCCTTTACACTCTAATATCAGTACTCATATTCTCCATACTGTTCTCTGTACATTTACCAAGGTGCTGGTAGAATTTGTCTAACAATCAAGAGTTTCTTTAGTTGGTGATCATTTCCTTTATTTTATGACATTAATGTGAGATTCAGTGGTGATATTGTAAGGAGAATGAATGATCCCAAGTTCAGACTTCGCTAAGCATTTGAATGCTTGGTTCACGCTCTTTTCAACCTTCCTTCTATTTTCTTAGACATCAGGCTGAGCTAAATTTGGATTTCGTGATATGAAATTTTTGCTTTGAAACCAACACTATGAAGCTGAACACTTCATGTGGCTATCGGGTAGGGGACTTTAACTCTCCATTTGAAAATAAATTTTCCTGAATGGTCAACCCACCCGTCCAAATTGAAACCCTTATACAATTTTATTAATGTTTAGAAAAACAGTGCATGGAAGAGGTTGTGTCGAGGTTGTGTCGAGGTCGTCAGAAACCATTTCAATAAGGACTTTCGTAAAAGCGTCAAGGTACAAAATCGGCTACTTTTAAGCCACCAACCACAATTCTATATTAATTCTATTTTATCCCTTTTATTTTCCATTACAACGACATATATTTCAGCTCACAGCCAGGACGTTGGCATCGAGTGTGACACTCTCTTGCCATATTTGGCCGAGACTTTTTACTGGAAAGGTATTTACTTCAAGCCGACGAATTCTTCTGAGAAAAAAGGGAGCTCTTCGCTGGAGCACGTGGACATTGAAAATGCTCTCGAGGGCGTAAATGCCGTAAAAAACGCTCCAGATTTACTTCATATTACAATCAACGGTAGCGCCTCCGGCTTAAATATAAAAGAACTTGCGAAACCCTTGGCCGTATTCGATTCTTCAATCCTGGGGCCTGTACTGGTTGGTGTGAACATCGAGAGCTCTTGTGGTAATGTTGTTATTGAAAACGTCACAGTTCAGAATGCACGATTTGGAGGAGGTCTCATCTATAAGCGCCTGGCAGTGAATTTCTGTTCCGTCATTCCAGAGGAAGCTTCTTTTCCTTTGCTCCTAGATGCCGCTGGAAATCATCATCCAGTTAATTGTAGGAAGGTAGGAACGATTGTTTTAGTTAAAATGTCTGAGCGATTTGGGTAAAATGAACTACGGAGTACGCTTTGAACTCAAAAATTCTCCGAAGTGAACTGTAGAATATCTATACATATCCATCACCTTTTCCATAACGAGTTTTTTAGTCGATTTCTGATCCAAGTTTCCTGAGCTGTAGTTAAAATGTACAGGTGTTTGTCACGTTTTGGTACATATTTCATTCAAGATTTTAAAAGGTAGAACGACAAGCTCGCAATGGCGAAGGATTTAGTTTTTCTATCAAACCAGGGGAATCCTTTGAGGAAACAACATGGTCTCCATGAGCTGAATGTTCTGGATCCTTGGCTATTTAATTAGAATTGAAAAAAAAGACAAACATTTTGATGATTATCGAAATAATGTGAATTAGACAGGACACTTCTTCCCTGTTATAGGTGGTGGTTTTTTTTTTCATGTACAATGGGGAAGATCACAATGCAAAAAGACAAACCCTGGTAAAGAGCAGTTTCATTCTTCCCCATATGCAGACACCAGCTTTCAACCATACAAAATTTGTAGCCAACGATTGAAAAAATAAGTTTTCTTTGAAGGCTGGAAGAAGAAAACACTTACATCAATGCCTCTTCTTCCGTTTTAATCTGTCAAACGAAGTCAGTTCGCACCTCTCGAATGTTCAGAATATTTTTCCTCAAAAAGAAAGTATTTATAAAAGACATCTAAACAGTCAAAATGGTGAGCCAGGTTTTCATGGAAGGGAGTTACCCGATCGAGCACCTCTATAAACTAGCCGTAACTTGTAACCTAGAGACATACTTATCTTCCAGTGAAAGAAATGAAAAAACATTTGCATTCTTAAGATTTTCAGAGCTTCACCAGGAAGAAAGATCTCTGTGTATTTGAGAATAATAAATGGAAGTGGATTCGAGCTAAATATTACCGATGCAAGCACAGATATCAAAACCCAACTGCACAGAATTACAAGTGACTTCAATGGAAGGACATTTAAGACTGGTTATACTTCTATATTGGAACTTTCCTTCTACTCTAAAGGCAGTTCCAACTTGGAAATGGTCGTTATGGAAGATCAAGGTAGCTCTGTTTCTAGTTATCTCTTTAGTAAGTAGGTAGTAAGTAAGTAGGTCTATCTGCTGTTCGCTTGAGCAGTTCGGTCGGTCTGTCGGTTGTCCACTCGGTTGTTTACCTGTTCTTTTGATGGGAGGTTCTTTCGATCAGTCAGTCGGTCGCTGAGTCAGTTGGTCAATAGGTAAGCTAGTTGCTCAATAAAGAATCGAGCAAAAGAAGTAATTAACTATTCAATACGAAGACAAAATTAATGCCCCCAATAAGTCTAAAATTTTTTTGGATGATGTATGCTCTTCGTAACACTAACCCATTGGCTTTTTATCATTTGTAGGCGGGACTTCATCACTTGTGATATCTAACAGTACCTTTTCTAACAATTCTAAGTCTGGTATTACCGTTGACAACTTGATCGGTAATTCTCGTATCTCCCGGACAACGGTGATAGGGAACAACTACAACGGACTCTACATAACTAAGACAACAGGTACTTTAGAATTTACCGACGTCAAATCCTCGAAAAACCAAGCGTCAGGAATCGTAGTCGATGCTGGAACTCTTTCATTCCGAATGTCTGACAGCCTTGTTGAAGAAAATGGTGGTCAAGGATTGCACATCTTAAACCAGGTCAACTCCACGATAAAGATTTACAACTCACAATTTGTTCGTAACAGTAACGGTGAAGGAGTTTATTTACAGGCATTTCGCTACTGCTATGTTCGACTAGTGGAAGTACTGTCTCTTGGAAATTCGCAAAATGGGGCTCTGTTTACGAGATTATCCGATACCAGATTAAATTTCAGCTCTTGTAAATTTGATGGAAACTCAAATATAGGAGTTTACACTGACTACTTTTTTAGAGGAGGACTTAACTTGGAGAAGATTTCTACCTCAAACAATTATAGATCTGGTTATGCTTTCGAATTTGGGGATACCAACATAAACATACAGTCTTCGTCTTCTCTTGGTAACGGAAGAGATGGTTTTTTCGTGCAAAATCAAGGAGGAGAAGTTGTCTTAAAGGATTTTATTGCTGGTGGCAACAAACGAAACGGATTGTGGTTTCAAGATACCAAATCAGCTCGTCTTCGATCAGTTTATCTTCTAAACTGTAATGTTTCAGGGAACAGTCAATACGGTGTGCTGTTTTATCTTACTTATAGAATTGATCAACGCCCGGAGAACTATGTCATTACGGTTGCAAACTCCGCAATTTTCAACAATTCTCTTGGTGGTTGTAAGATCTATCCTTCAAATTGTGGTTGGGGAAACGATCGGTGGCAGAGAAGCGTTCAACTTTTATTCACTGGTAATAAAGTAAAGGGAAACAAAAAAAATGGTTTGGATATCCTTGGCCCGGAATGGTACGTGTTATCTGCTGTCTTGGCCAATAACATATATTACGAGAACAGTGGACTTGCTCTGATAGTAAGACACGGGCAAAGGTGTTTCCATGAGGAATCCTCACCCTTCAATCTGCAGGTTTCATCAAACAGCTTTTTGAAGAATAAAGGAAAGAACATACTTTTCGTTGACTGCGGAACGTTACCCACAAAATGCCGTGTCGCCATCAGAAACAACACGTTTCTAGACAATCAAAGAATCCGGCTGTTTTCCAACAATTACCTTCGTACTAAAACGCAGGCAGTTTTAGCTGTAAACGGAGGCAACGTTACCGTAAAGTTTAATTCGTTTATCAATCCTTTGTTCTCTCACGAATTAGCAACTCTGCTGAAAGACCGCGAACACGTTCTTCTCGCGGAAGAAAACTGGTGGGGAACAAGAGATGAATGCAAAATAAAAGACCGAGTGTTTGACTTTGAAGATCGAGTGGAACTTGCACAGATCCAATATTATCCATTTTTGGATTCCTACAATTCAACCAGCTCTGAATTACACGATGGTGTCAGACCTTTCTGTTTTCTTCGAGGTAACAAGTTAGGAGGAACATTAAATCAAGTCCTCAATATTACAAACCAAATTGATGCCTACCAAGTTATAAGCGATGTCACAATATTGCCTGACGGCGTTTTGTTTCTCGAAGGAAACATCACTTTAGAATTTCCATTAAAGAGCGTTTTCCTAGTGCAAGGAAAGGTTATTATAAAAGGTAATAAAAAAGAACGGGTGAAGTTCCTTCCAAGGAGACCATTGCAACAGGACATTAGACTCGTCGGAGGTCCTGCTCCGTGGGAAGGGGTAGTTGAAATATGGATCAACAGTACGTGGATGCCAGTTTGTATGCATACCTATAGACGCGAGGACGACATAGTATGCAGACAATTGGGGTACGAACCGGTGGACTCTTATTACCATGACCCAAGTGGAAAAGAAGAAATGTTCCTACATAATGTCAGATGCGACACAGGTCAAGGAGACAACATCACCATTTGCAACAAAAACAACTGGATTTCATCATCATCATGCATGAGAAATGTTTTGTATGTCGGTTGCAAAATCCCATACTGGGCTGGCGTTCACCTTGCTGTGACTTCAAAGGAAAGCGTCTTCAGCGATGTTGAGGTGCGCTATGCAGGTTTTCCATATAGAAAAGACCTGACTATCCCCGGAATCGCCTTCAGAGTGGACCTCCCACGTCACGTGATCAGCGGTGTCTTTGTGAGTAATTCTGCTGCCATTGGTTTCCAGATTATGTATCCAGACCTTGTAAAAGATTCATTTAAAATCGAGAACTCAACAATTGCTAAAACTGAATCGGATGGAATACGTTTGGAGTCTCCATTTCTTGAGTTCCTGAGTACAAATGTTGTAAACACAAAAGGCTACGGATTTTCGTATCGTTATAACTGGAATGCTCTCAACACACACGTTGTAAAAATGGCAGATGCGACCATGAAGAAGTTTATGGACATATGCACTGAAAGTGAAACATTTATTAATGACTCTAGTGAGGTGTACTATCTAGTTGTGACATTACGTAGCGGAGCAGCCTGCAAGGCCATAATTACCGTTCCATCGGAATATACAATAGGATTGCAGCTAGTCTATCACAATGTATATGGCACAGCTTTCCGCGTGTACAGTGGAACAGACAAGACAAAGGGCACTCTCTGGGATATCCATATGTTAAAATGGTATAGCCGTCCTGCTTGGATGTCTGGCAATAACTCAATCCTACTGGAGAAAAGATATGGCTATGTGGATGAAGACGTCACGGTGCATTTTCTACTGTTTCTCGTCAAAAGTAAGTTGAGCTATTATTTTAATTATATCGAGGTAAGCAGTGATCCTCGTCGGTAGACTGCGATTTTTGCAATTGCAAAAATATGCTTCGGGCTTCGACAGACGTTGAACCCTTTCGCTCAGATGCAATTTGGACGCTATTTGCAAAAGATCTCCAAAGCCACACAGTTGGGATGATGCAAATCCTTGAGTTCATCTTTTTGTAAGCTTCTAATCTGTGATCATAAAGAATTTTTTTTTGTTTTCAACTAACAGGTGGTGGAAAGACGAAGATCAGATCACCAAACCTTGTAATATCCCAAAGCAATTTCAGCCACAACGGTGAAGGTGGAATTTTGTTGGGTGGAGATAACGCAGGAATAGTTGAAATCGAAAACACGGAAGTACGAGACTCACCCAAGAATGGCTTATCGACAGCATTTTCCCATGTTAACAGCTTGAAGCTGCTGAATTGCCAGTTCGTTAGAAACAAGATTGGAATCAAGCTCTCTTCATTTTCAGGTAACGTGAATATCGAGAACACCAAAGCTTTTAACTCGACCGAAAATGGACTATATGTGGACACGAACGGTAAAAAAACAATCCATATTGAAAATGGTGGTGTTTTCCATAGCAATGGATATGGGCTTTTTCTGGTTGGTAGATTTGCCGAAGTGAAACTTTCTGCAACCGGGATATTTTTTGGATGGAATTCTGCATCTTCTGTTTATGCCCGAAGTATTTATGGTTGCAGTTTGCGTTGTTCATCCTATACCTCCTTTACAAACTGTACATTTTATGCCAACCGAGGCCCTGTAATAGACATTAATGAGTCTCCACACTCTAATCCATGGCAATTTGACGGTAACCTTTTCCTAAATAACACTCAAGGTCCAATTATTTTGACTACGCGTTATACGGGTAGATCTCACATTCCTGGATTATTTGTGAGAAATAATAGTTTCTTGTTCAACTTTTGCAAAGATAAAAGCGTCATAGACATAATAGGAGGCACAAAAATTCTGATCATAGAAGGAAACATCTTCAAACAAAACTATGGGAGATCCGTTTATGTAGAAAAAACCTCTCCTTCAGGCGCAACTATAAGAAGTAACGTTTTCACGAACAATAGCTGCCTGAATTGTGGAGTCATTGAGATTCAGAGGATAGGTAAAGACATCGCAATTGTTGGTAACATTCTTAAATCGAATAAAGGACAGTTTATGGTTCTTCTCCAGTGCGAATACGTTGTAGGAATGAACACTGGCATGAAGAATGTAATGTTTTTGAACAATTTGCTCCTGAACAACGTGGCTGTATCATCAAGTTCCCCAACCTGTCAGTTAAAAGTCTCTGGATTTATGGAATGGAGAACATTTTCCATCAATTTCAACAGATTTAGAGGCCAAGACTTCTCAAAAGAACTTTGTGTAAGCACCCATGCCTCCTCGCATGGCAGCACAGCACAAGCTACATTAAACGTCTGGGGTTATGATGACGAGGAAGAAATCAAGAAGAGAATCTATGATGCTGAAGACAACTACGAACAGACATTCGTAATTTTTCGTCCCTACATCAGTAATGCAGGAAACACAATAAAGGGTTCGCAAGAAAATACCACCTTTAACGCGCTCTCGAAAAGCTTTCTGGGAGGAAGGATATTATCCAACATTCTTCTAAGAAAAGAGAAAAGTCCCTATACAGTTGTGTCCGATGTCACTATTCTGCCTGAAGCTTCACTTTCAATTGATCCTGGTGTTGTGGTGCATTTTATGCCAGGGGTCGGCATGTTGGTTCTTGGTTCACTATTTGTGGGCGGAAATGTACATCAACCTGTCAAATTTTCTCTTTCAAAAATTACAAAAGATGACGATTTTCTCAAAATTCGATTAGCCGGAGGTAAGTTCCCTTGGGAAGGACGTGTAGAGATACTTCACAACTGGAATTGGACCTCACTGTGTTTCAATGAGACGCAGGGCAATAAAACTAATGACGCAAAACTGATATGTGAACACCTGGGCTATAAAGCACCATTGTCCATCAATCATTCCCATTGCGAATCGTCCGGCCCTTGGGATACTTGTGCCGCTCTTCAGTGTAAAGGAATTGAGTTAGATTTAGCAGAATGCTCTTTATCTTTCCAAAACCTTAGCTGCAACATGTCGTGTCATCTTGTGTTAAACTGTGGCGAAGGAAGGCCTTGGGGAAATATCAGATTTCTTCGCGAAGCTAGGAACACTTCAAACCTGTCAACATCAAGTTTAAAACACCTCAGAATTGAGCACTGTGGCGAGAAACATGGCCAAAACGTTGCTGCTATTGAAATGATTCAGTACGTTGCAGAAGTAAATCATGTGACTGTTCTTAACTGCACATCTGGTGGTGTGAAGGTTTGGTTCCCAGAAAAAGAGGTGATTATAACGAACAGTTCCTTCGTTAATACCGGAGGAAATGGAACCGATTTTATCAGCACGAAAAACAATGTTACACTTAAAAACGTCAAATCGATAAGAAACGAGTTTGGACTGAGTTTTCATGAAGCTTACGGTAATTGGTTTCATACTATTTCATACGGGAAAGTTAATCTGTGCTCCCCACAAAAAGTGGTGAATGTCATGGATCACAATGTATTCGTTTACTTTAGGGCGCCATTCGTGTCTTTCTCAGATCTAGAGGTATCCTGCCAAATAAAAGTTCAAACAGGGGCAAGCACTGGTTTTGCCATCCAGCTACTAGTCCTAAAAAATATAAGATCTTTTTGGATAGAATTGCCTGATAGACGTGCTATCTTCAGGACTTATGGTAGCAGCCAAGGTCTACTCTCAAAAAGAAACTTGATCAGCTGGGATTCTTTTAGAGTCCACTTTGATGGACGGTACAGTAGCGAAATGCTTTTGCAAATTGAACGTGTTGATATCAAAGGTTAGTGGCTATGAAATTATTATTATTATTATTATAATTATCATCATGACCATTATCAATATCTTATCACTCTCATTATCATTACTATCGTTCTCTTTATCGTTATCGTCAGTGTTCGCTATCGTTAACGTCAGCATTTTAGTTATCATTATCATTATTATTATTAATTATTGTCGTCATCCTTGTCATGGTCAACACTTTTTATTTCTTTGCCTGTACATAAAACACAGGCCGCACATGAAAAGAAGCGGGGGGAGTCCAACTTTGAATTAGGAAACATTGATCTTTTTTTATTCTTTTTTCAATCTAGAGCCAAAACAAGCTAAAAACTTTAAAGACACGTCAATTTTACATACTTCAAGTTGAGAAAAATTTGTGATTCTGTATTTGCAAGAACTTTGGTGTCATACAAGTGATAGGAAACACCCCCATTCTAGATTCGCTACCGTAACGTCTGTGCTCTGTTTAACAACTGTTCAGTAACACCGAAGTGTATTATGTGAATGGGCAAAATGTGCCAATACGATGGGATCTGACAACAAGTCTGCCTAATTTTCTTCAGATATTCCATGCTCATTTGACCGGGGATTTTGTGACTGGAGACGCTATCCCAAATCACATTTTGAAGGAATTGCCTTGAGGAAGAGATGGTATTTTGGAAACAGTCGTTATGACCACACCTATTCAGGAGGCAATGGTGAGTTGTAATAAGTAATAGAAGATTGAACTTTAAAGATTTTAGAAAGGACATTCGAATGCGTTAATCTCTTAAGTTTTCATCTATCTTGTGACCGGATATGAGTTGGCTTAAGTGAAAGCTCCAATGTCCTATGAAGTAGAAAGTTAGGTGGAAGGGCTGGGAACTCCTTCCGTCGACAAAACGTTTTCCTTCCGGCCGCTTTTGTGGATATTATTCTTCCAGTCGAAAACTTAGATATGGATTACAGGACTATGGGTGACTCAGTGAAACGTTCTACCTTGTCGAGTGAATCGGAATTTCTTGAGAACGACTTTCCGTAAAGTCAAAAGATCGTTAAAGGTCGTAAGAACAGCAGCACAACCAAAACTGGGACTACAAATTTTTCCAGATCAGCACCCGCCAGATAATATTTAATAGAGACGACCCAATGGTAAAATTAGAATCGGGAAAAAGGACGCAGCGATGTTGTTGAAGAACTCGAGCAAAACTTACTAGGAGTGCCTGAACGAGCTGGAGCAGCGACTTGCAATTGCCAAAGAATAAATAATGAAGGAACAAAGTCAGGGGTGCGTACATTCAGTTGAGTTAGAGGCAAGCGATCAAACAACTAAACAGTAGAATGACATAGAGGGAAGACTGGAATTGTGCCAATTTTGCGTTTATTTGCGGGAAAAAGGAGAGAACTTAACACAGCCGACAGCCCGCTCTCCATGTAACAAATTTACCCTTCCGTCCGCCGGCAAGTTTGCCGTTGCTCTAGAAAACTTCTCCCTAAGCCCACCCCGAGAAAGAAAGATTTTGTCACATTCAGGTCATTAACGAAGTTTTTGAATCTCGCGCTCGGAAATCGGATACGCGTCGGTTCTTACAAACCTTTGTTCTTATAACAAAAGAGCCTCAAAGCTGTCAACAATGACAATGCCCATAAAAGGATTAAAAAATCGTGCCATTGTTAGCAAAATCCCAACCCAAAGTTTGATATGGTTGGTGGCCCGATAACATTGTGGTCTCAGGAATTCAAAATACTCCGCCAGGATCTTCCTAATCGAAGTCGCGGACTTTGATGTGTCAATCTCTGAGCTCTACATGTCAACCTCTAGTACTCTCAAATGATTGGCTGAGAGGAGCAATCGTGAAACTGTATGAATTTCAATGCCGTTGATCAAAAAGAAATTTCGTATAAACTATGATCCTGTACATGAACTTTCGAAAATCTTGTTGATATTAGCTCATCAAGAAGGGGAATAATCTTGGGCAATTTCAGCTGAAGTAATAGTGAGCGCAAGAGATTTTTTGGCTCTCCCCATGTTTTTCTGTAGAAAATTTAAAGTTTTGAAACTAAACCTTTAAGGTGCCATACATTTTCACAGTGTCAAATTTTATCAGATATTTGGTAACGAATCGCATCCCCTGTCTTTAAGAGTACCATTACTTAAAATACGATCGTTAAAACAGCAACAAATGCGAGTATCTGTCAAAGACAAAATAAAATTTCATCTTTGAATTATATCTTACGCAGGGGGGTTACTATATCTTTGGGCGTTCTGGGGATCTGGTTATGGTGCCTTTACCAGCCCATCAATTTCCAGCGACAACAATTACTGTTACTTGGTGTTCTACTACATGCGGGATGACTACTACTCCAGGTTATCAGCATCGCTGTCCATTTTTCTTATAGAAGACATAAGTAATTCTTCGACCTTGCTCTGGTCTATAAGCGATTACGTGACTGACTGGAAAAAGATAGTGATTGAGCTACCCTATACTAATGCCAGTTACTCGATTGTGGTATTGGGATATGAAGAGTACAAGACCGGAATTAATATCGATGACCTAGCCTTCGTCAGTTGTGACCCATGTAAGTAGTGATATATTTCAAATTGACGTATACATTACAGGTGAATTGAACAGGCATGACCTGGTTAACTAACTGGGCGGTAATAAGCGAAGTACATCATCTTATCCAGTACTAATCTTTCCAACCTCAAAAAAACTGGGGAGCACCATATTTACAATGTAAACAATAAAATCCTCAGTGTTTCACGAAAAACATGATAAGCAAAGAAATGACACCGTGACAGCTAAATAATTGCCTCCTTAAGTTTTATTCGTCCACAAGAAAGTGTTAGAGAACTTTTTAATTGGTGAATGTTGACATGCATGGCCCTGTGCGCAAGTTTTTTAAAAACATCCTAGCTTTTGACAAAAATGGTTCTTTGGTCAGCCAGCGTTGGAGAAATCGGGGGAACTCATCTTCCCTCAGTTGAGGTATTGTTTTCCGTTGGTGATGTTGAAGTTATGTGGTAAACTTATCAATATAAGAAGGTGATTTTTTAATGTCTCTCTTATAAATTTAGTCGACATTTCCAATTCATAAACAGAAAAATGCATTAAGGCTTGAAGAAGATAAGTGCAGCCAGGAAACTAAATCCGAAAGTAAGATAATCTTCTTTGAAGCTTGTTTGCCTTGTGTTGTACTATGAAAAGATAAAAATTTCATTTTCTTAACAGCTGCTACTGCTGTACACCAGGTAACTGGAAGTGCTTTTAGTGGTAACGAGAAACAAGGTATACATTACACGACAACTCAAAGTGAAAGCCGACATATTTTCAGAGTAGAACGTTGTCAGGTAACAAACAATGGTCTGAATCCAGTCCTTAGTGGAAGCTTACCAGGAGCGATTCACCTCAATGCTTCAAACCAAGTGTTTGAAATAGTCAATAACTACATTGCTGGAAATAACAATGGAGGTATTTATTCCGAAGTACTCAATGAAGTGTCCACGACAAGACCACCGGTCAGCCATATCCATGCAAACACAATAGAGTACAACAAAGGAGGCATATTACGCGTAGAAGGAGTTTCTGGGCCCTATATGAATGTTAACGTGAGCAATAACTATTTTTCTCGAAACTTGGCGCGAGGTTTTGATGGCAAAGCAAATAGCGTTTGTGTCATAACAAAGTTGTGGGCGATTGTTCAAGGAAATTTCTTTTATAGAAACGTCGGTCATTACGTTTTGCTGTATGATAATTCTCAAACAAGTACTGTTGGTCTTCGATTTGTGAATAATACATTGTACAAGAACGGTGCAAGGGGGCTCGATGTTATCTACGGAGCGACTATTCTGTGCAATGGAACAGCAGAAATTCAGGGAAACGTTTTTCAGAATCCTAACAACCGTTACCAATTCAGTACCACAATGAGAGGGAGTCCAATCACAGTAAACGCCACTTTTAATTGGTGGGGAGAGAATGTGCCAAATCTGATTTCTTCTCTGATTATGGATAAGTCAACGGATTATCGACTGTCCATAACAGTTGCGTTCCAGCCGTTCGTCAAGCTACCACCCCAAACAGCTATATCAGGTCAATATTTTTTGGACTTCCAGGTTCAAGTCTATCTTTTATGTTGTTTTGGTGTCTCACTCTTTCACCTAAAAATGAACCTCTTTGGTATCAAAATACTGTTCGGCTACTTAAAACATCAATGTTCTATGAAAATGTTTAAAACTGTTAACTCTTTTCTCAAGTAAATCGAAATTGACTGTGTTTTGTTTTATGTTTTTGGATTTTTTTCATCTATTTATCCTATCTTAGAATACAAAACTGCTCATCAGTTTTTAGCTCATCAATTTTCTTTTTAGTGTCTTGCCCGCCTGAATGGATTAAAGACGAAGAGATGTGTTTCATGTACAAAGGAGGCTCCTCCACTTTCACTGACGCCAAGAAATACTGCGAGGTAAGCGCGGTTAATACTGACACTCTATTCCAGTCTCTCTTCTTCTTGTATTTTGGCTGTCTGATTATTTTTAGTTTTTTCATTTATTTCTCTTTACGCTATTCAACTTTTCTCGATCTTATTTCCTTTTGTCCGCTCGAACTGAAACTAGATGAAATTAATTTTGAGGTGAAATGAATACACAAGGGAGCAAGGCAATTAAGCTTAGGGCGACTTGACCTAGGGCGATATGGGGGCTTCGCTTCTTCTCCTAGTTCCTCGCATTCGCCTTCCTCGAACCGAATTTTGTTCCTTTATTAGAAAAGTGCTATATGCTCGCCTAGCGTGTTATTAATTATATGTTCGTTTGTAGAGTTATGGTGGAAATCTCGTCACCATGCTTTCAGACGAAGACAAACGACTCATAAAGCATCTTCGACAGAAAGAATCCTTGGTTCATTCAGGCGTGTTACCTTCCCTGTGGACCATAAGCAGGCGCTTTTTGAAAGAGGTGAGGAAACATCAAGCTCTATATTTAGTTTCTTTCCCTCAGGTATTTTCTAAGTAATTTGATTGCCCGATAATATCATGGGCACCAAATTATACTCATAGCCTCGAATCAACCCGTGTCGACTCTTCTTTACACGATGAGTATTGTTTGTAGATGAACTAAGAACATCATCCTCGTGAAATGGGTTTAAAAATCAGCACAAGGCTTTAGACATGCATTTTTGTCGGTGCGAGGTCTTCGTATTAACACGTTTTGAAACAAGAATTGTAATACTTTTAAACTGTTATTATCTAAACGCAAATGAATTTTTTCGCGGTTTTGCTTTAGTGCCACAACATCTTCCTGTACACAACGCGAGACCTGTTCGCCGTTCTGGCACCTTCGGGAAGGTTGGGATGGGACTTCGTCATTTCTTATGCAACAAAATATTTTTTAAGCTGAAATTTTCTTAATAATGGTGGGGTAATTTTTACCGACGATAGAGAAACAAAATAACCTACTTCCTCAACTGTTAAGGCTCACTTAAGGTGCAATGATGAGACCTTCCACCATTTTTTTGTGTCCCTCTATTTGTCTCATTTACTTCTTTTGGTCTTTTGGGTGCCTTTGTTCTCTTTTGTTTGAATATTTTTCGCGACAAAAATAAATAGTAATAATGTACAAGAAAAAATAGAAGTGAACATTCGAGACATTTATCTTATCATTTTTCTTTACTGCAGTCCCACAGTGGATATGATCCGAAAAATAAAGCATGTCCTGTTGTGGCTGCCACTGGAAATATTTCACAAGTTCATTGTAATGAATTTCTTCCTTTTGTCTGCGTGAGGAGGCCAGGTAAATCAGGCACAATATCATAATTGATAAATGAATTCTATCGTTGTATTAAATCATCATGCTAGATGAATATCGATACAAAATCATTCAACCTCATCGAAATGCCTTGTCGAAATGCAGCAATCCCCAATTGATAGCTTGACTGTTCATTTATATGTATTAGTGACTCTAAATTGAAAGACAAAACCGTTAAACTTTCATCATCATAGCTGCCATGAGCAAAATGCTAGTATTATAATTATCATTATGGCGCACTCTGTCGATAATTTTGCCTCGTATAGCGCGCTATATCATCATTGCCATTGTTATTATTATGACAATGATAAGCACTTCTGTACATAACACCGCGCCCATAGAAGCATATTTGTCTATGGGTCTATAACTTGTATTTCCTCTCGTAGAATAAATAGAAGGATATCCATTTACGTTAAATATTTCTGCAAGTACTATATCACAGCGAAAATCGAGGGGAAGGGAGGGTTTCCATTCAGCCCTCTCCCGTGCCCTGTAACCCGGCGGGGGTGACACCATGTTTCAGGGATATACCTTCGTGTGAAGGAAGCAGGTACCAACTGGATAAACTTCTTTTTGGCTTCATAGTTATCCTCTGCCCGAACAGCTGTTTCCATAATGGGGACTGTATAGGTGCCACGTGTTTTTGTTATCCCGGATGGACTGGAGAAGACTGTTCCAAGTTTCACTGCCATGACTTGCATAACTGTTCTGGTAAAGGTGAATGCATGGGTCCCAATGTATGCAAATGCTACCCCGGATATTTAGTAAGTGGCATTTCTTTTCAATTCCATGATAGCTCATAGCTGTGTTGACTGTTGCGAGTTTGATACCAAGCTAACAGGGCCACTTTTAAAGAGCTGGTATCAGTATTGGCTGGATAGAAACTAGATTTGTGCAGCTGGTTGTGTGTGGGCGATTTAGTGTGCTCTCAGCAAGTGATCAAGAGTGTTAAACTTTATCTCTTAGAAATCAGATCTCAAGCGTCTTTATGATTTATGTAATATTCATCTTCAACATCTAAAACTCATATGAAAATTTATCTGAAAGCGCGTTTTGAGATTCCACGGAAAATCTTCTTAAGTGTGACATAATTTGACGATGGATACCATCATTTTGAAACAACTTTGTTAGGCTGTCGCTTACGTGTAATCACAAGGCGCGCTTAAAAAAAGCTGATGCTCTAGTTATCGTAAAAATCCCCTTTTTTTGCTGCCCCTACTTTATTTAGAGAGATCGCCAAGAAATGGAAGAAGGAGGAGTGAGATCATGCTATAAATTCCAGCACATCTGGACACAATTTTGGAAACACTAGATTAATTTTTGGAAATTTAGTCGCCATTTAGGACTCTAAAAATATCTTTAACATCCTAATCTGATTAAAAATACACCAGTCATTGTACTTTCATAGATTTACAACAATTGTGTTCGAAACCCATCGGTTTTGTCTCTGATCGCACGAGAACAGTAGTAATTACCTTTTCGAAATAAACCTAGTGCAGGAAAGTTTCTGGATGTTTCTGCAGGGTCTTGGCTGCACTTACTCCTTCTGTGGAAAATACGAAAGTTGTGCTGATTGCGTGACAGACCCGTTTTGTGGATGGTGTGACAGTTCACGCTCCTGCCTCGGAGGTTTTGCCGCAGGACCTCCAGTAATAAGTTGTCCCGCTTGGTTTTACCACCACTGTTATACAGTAGGAGACGAACTTTGTTCACATGATATAATGGTAGGTGAAGAGTGAAACGAACGGTATAGTAGATGGACATTCACGTTATAACAAGCAGAAACCATTAACAGATCAACCATTATACACACGGTCATAATTATTCAAACACAGAGGTGAGACACACCACGAATAGTTAAAAGTCTAATGATGGTTTTTGCATAAGCATTCGTCACACCTTTCCTCTTATAGAATAATAATTTTAAAAAGCTAAAGCAAAACAAACAAACTTCACCGCGTTAATTGTAAAATCTGGCCGTCACGCCAACACGTACTCTCGAAATCTTGCCGGGGGTCTTCTTTCTATCTGCGATCCTATGTGGAACTTGCACTGTGTGTGTCCAGGCAATACTGTTCCAGAAATACTGGAGAACGGTGTTTCCTATGGAACGATGGTCTGGCTCCTAAAAGGATTCTCGCTAGTTTTAATAATGTCACGCCGATTTCTCCTATAAATTATACTTCCAGACTTGAAAAGGAAACTATGAGAACCCTTCGAATCCAGACAGGTAGCTGGTGTCCAGACCTTTTGCCCAGGTAGTCTCATTCGCACTATTTAGCCCTGGGTCGTTTTCTGTTGAGTGGTTCCTTAGCCCGAGACGTGCGATAGGCCAGACAAACGTCACACTTAGAGACGTATCTGATGCAGTTCTTGGCCAGAACGGGTACTCTCGAACTCTTCTCAAGCATCCTTCTATTCCTATGTGTGTAGAATGTGCAACAGACATTAGTTCCCTGCGCATACAATTGGGAACAACCAAACGAGCACCCTTGAAAACCAGCACATCTTGTACTATTAACTCGTCACGCAAGTCAAAGCAGAATCGCAAACACTCAGGAACATCTGACTTTCTTTCTGGCTAGCCATTTTGAATGGCACCACGAGGCTGTTTCAAAACTGGATCGCTAGCTGGATCGCTGTGCATAGTTTTCTTTCGTAGGGGTTAAGGCTCTTGAAGCACACGCCAAGGGCTGCCCACTTTGAATTAACACAGCGCTAAGACCATGTTGAGGCGCATCACATTGGATCGTAACCTTCTCTCGCAGGTTGTAATAACGGAGTATTGGTGTCACAGACACAGCTTCTTTGAGTTGCTCAAATGCTCTCTCTCATGCAGCTCGTCCCAGTGCTACTTCACGTCTTGGCGGGTGAGGTCTCAGAGAGGTTTGGTGATACCTGATAATCGGGGCAGAAATTTGCTGAGGTACTGAACCATTCCTGGGATACGCTGCACACCTGTAACACTCTCTGGTCGGGGCATTTCATGTATGGCTCGCACTTTCGCTGGATTTGTTCGAAGACCTTCACTGGTTGCCACATGACCGATGAACGGAACTTCTCTCACTTTGAGCTGCAACTTGTCGCTGTTTAAATGGATTCCACGCTCTTCACATCTCTGAAGGAAGGCTGAAAGACTCTTGTCGTGATCCTTTGAGGCTGCTTGCAATGACTCACCATAACCAACAACAACAAAACCATCTGCTATGATTTCAACTCCGTTCAGTCCCTCGATCAATTCGTGCGTCTTGCGTTGAAAAATTTCAGGCGCAGACTCGATTCCAAAGGGCATCCTTTTCCAGTAATAACGACCAGATGGCTTGTTAAAAATAATTAAGGACGATGACTGCTCGTCAAGAAAAACGTGTCAGAACCCACAGGCAACATCAAACACAGTAAATACTTTGGCTCCATGAAGCCTAGAAGGTCCAAACAAACGCGTAAGGTACTATTTGGCTTTGGCACATTAACCATTAAACTAATCCAAGGCGTGGGCGTTGTCACACGAGCTACAATTTCTCGGCGTTCCAAGTCTTCTAAAGTATCTCATAGAAGTTCACGAATGCCAAACGGTACTCGGCAAGGAGAGTGTTGAACTGGGTTCACTTTTTCATCCAGCTCCACGTAATATTCGCCAGGAAGTTTACCAACTCCATCACCGAAAACAGGAGGAAATTTTTTGACCAACTGGTCAGCGGACAAAGCAGGCTCGGCAGCAGACAGAACAGACTCGGTTGGTGCATCATGCGCATACACGTCACCATCAGAGGTCTGGGAATGATTCAACTGGTTATTGTCCAAGTACTTGATGCTTTTTATTCCAAGACAAGCTTTCCTTGAAAGCTTTCTTTGAAAACGAAGAAAATTTCCTGTATCCAATTTTAATGTTACAAGCTGCGAATCATCTACGGTCACCACACACCAAAAACTTCGTCTAAAAATTCATCCCCCAGTTAATAGACACGACTGCCTCGCTGCGACGGTTTAGGGGCTGATCCAAAACACACGTTCGCGAAATGGTTTTGCTTTTTACACCTTATACACCTTTTTTCAAATGCTGGACAGTTTTCACGCTTTGACAAATCATGCATACGCCCACAAGAATCACACGTTTTCTCTCGGGAGTCAGCGCCTCTAGGGAATTGGCCACGTCTTTTTTCCCTTCTTTAGGCTATTTAGAAGAGGCATTTACACCGCTCGGATCTGAATCCCTAATGATGGCACCTCCAACAATTCATCTGTTGAATCATTGTCTCGTGTGCCCGACAAATTTCATCAGTTTTCTGCAGTGACAAATTTTTTTCGCGAAACAATCTATCTCGTACCTTTCAATCCTGAATTCCGAAAACAAGCTTTTCCTGTAAAATTTTATTTTCCTTCATGGTTTCAAATTCACATCGATCAGCTAATTGTCGTAGGGTTGTCCGATAATGGTCATACGATTTTCTCCCTTCTTGCACTCTAGAGTAAAACTTGTATCTTTCAAAAGGAACATTCTTCAGCGGCTGGTAATAAGCAGCAAAACTCTCTAACACCGGCTGTCTTCTGTCACGGTTATCATCGCCAACCGTAAACGTCGAGAAAACGTTTCTAGCTTCGGCTCCGATCACCGTGAGCAACGTTGCAATTTGTACGGTAGAGGGTTCCTGATGTAATTTCATAGCTACCGAATCATTTCTTCATGCTTCCTCAAATTCATTCCACTTTTCTGCCGCGTTTGAATCATGGACATTAAGCAGTGTTGGCGGCTCGCACTCGAAACATCCGTAGACGAACTCGAAGACTGCTCAGCTTCTCCGCCTCCCGGCATTTCAGCAAAAATAGTTTACGCAGGTTCGGTAACCTGATAAGGTATGGAGGCGTGGGTTCGAATCCCACTCCTGACACTATGAAACGAACGGTAAAGTAGAGAGACATTCACGTTATAACAAGCAGAAACCATTAACTGTTTTAATGTAATAGTTGATCAACCTTTATACACCGTCATAATTATTCTAACACAGAGGTGAGACACACCACGGATAGTCAAATTCTAATGATGGTATTTGATAATGTGCACGAGAATTCGTCACAATGAGGAGAAAAAATATAATTCATGGTGCCAACACATCAACACCATGCTGCACTCAATTAGATATAAGTAACCAATGCAAGGGAGACGGGAAGGGGCGGTACTAGCGAGTGTTGCTTATCAGTTAGTTAGATAATTATTTCTGAGTTATCTTTTGCTTGTTTGTTTGCTTCATGTTTCATGCTGCGCTGTTTTATTCTTTTTTATTTTACTATCTTAAATCCTGCGGCCCCTGACTATCAGAGCACTCTCCGCTTCAGATACAGAACAAACGAGCAGTAGTTTTACCTGAATTGCATACCGCTTTATGCTCATAGCCCTCTGTGTTTTGCTAGGTTTTCCTACCAGTTTATCGATATCCACTTGTACTGCTACGCGCAAAAGGACTACGTGAAATTGCGTTGCGCAAGAATGCCGGACAAAACATATGCGCTGCCAATGCATTATAGTCTCCGGGCACGATGACTGGTAGAATAGCTCAAAATACTACGCTCCTCAATGTTCCATGTTTATCGTTACACGATAAGGGTTTCCACATATATTTTCTTAAACAGAGGGTGAATTGTGGAGGTAGGCATTGCAACTTCAAAGATGGAGGAGCAACCATTGAATCCTGTCAAAAATGCAGCGATCTTGAAGGATGTCACAAAATCACAGTAAGATTTTTATCTTTCTTTTTCGTTCCTTATCGTTGCTTATTAAATTTAGTGACAGTTTAAGATAGTCTTCATGGGCAAAAAACTGAGTTGAAAGTAATGTTACATATATCTAGGTGCAAATAGCAACTATCAGTAAGTTGTAGCAAACTCTGTTGATAGAACCAGTTAATCTCACTTGCAGTATCATTACTAGTAAGTGCGAAAATTTAGCATGAAACACTTTGTTTGAAATAAAAACAGAATATTTGACCTGTGGTAGTATATCTGGTTAGAAATCTCTACAGACCTAACTCCTACTATTTACCGACTACATGGCGCCGTCCCCGTAGTGTACCCCTTTGGCCATACATGTAGGTCGAAGATAGTATTAATCTGTTACCTATTAAACCTTATGACAGGAAGACAACCAATGCAGATCGTGGAATGAGACTAAGTGTCCAGGCGGGAAAATTAAAGTGAATTATACAGATCCCCAAAGGAGAAATAATGTGGAATTTGCTAAAAACGTGAAGTTTGTGGAGCCAAACGAAACTCTCCTTTACGCATGTCCAGTAATTTTGCCAAATCAGGAGAGGGTGTCGCTAGTTTTAGTTGCACCAAAAGTCCTGAAAGTTCAAAAGGGTGATGTACTGTGTAGTCCTCAGGCAGGAGGTATTATGCATAAGATTGTCAAAGAAATCAGCGATGGTAAGTGTAATGACCATAAATGTCTGTCACAACCTTTACATAGTCCTCGATCACATCGATCATTTGAATACTTGAGATGGAGTGGTTTTAAAAAAGCATTGCGTTAATAATTCTTTGTAGGGGTATGGGCGAAATAAGTGATCAGTACTGTAAGTGGCTGACATTGGCTTGCTACCAAGTGTCGCTGGCAAAGTTTTCCCAATTTTTCCCAAGAACTGTACTCTATGTAAATATCAAATGTAAGATAAGCTATCCGGTTGCCGTTGTGAATTGTTTGAGATCTTACTGGACCGCGACTTGCATTTGGTACACGTAATGGCGAAGACATCTCTAAAACATACTTAATTTCATTCAATGTTCAAATTTATTATTTTCTCGAAAGGTCCTTTTCAATTGATGTTGAGCGCCCCAGCAGGTTTAGAAGAGGTTATCAAGTATGCGGACTTTAAAGACGAAGTAACTGCAGTGCAAGTAGACGACGACTCGACGTTTGAGGACGAGCCTAACCAAGATGACCTGCGGGACATTATTACAGGCAACATTACGTTCGATGAGGGTCGGGTAATTGCGCTTTCAAATGGTAAGTAAACATTTTTGTATCAACCAGCTTAAAACTTCTTAAATGACTGAAGATCATTTAGTTATATCTACGATTTAATGCGTTGTATAACACCTCATAAGTGCATGAAAGACACACAATGGAGCAAGCAAGCACAGATACGATAAACACAAAATAGACCATCAGGACCTGCAAGATATTTCCGGTTCGAAAAGTCATACTCAACTCAAGGAAATTCAAACAGTTTTCTTAATTATTATTTTAGAGATATACAAGTGCCTAGGTCACACGTATGACACTGGAAACATCATTGTCCACTCGTTTTACCTGGTAATAGAAAAGAACAACACCATCCCAAAGAAAGGTGACATACTTGTGTCCAATACCAGTGATGGTTTCATCGAGACTGTTGTTAAAGTTCATAGAACGAACAACACCGATTACTTGGAAACGAAATTTCAGAGATGTGAATCAAACTCTCATTGGACAGGCACAAGGTATTTGTATAAATGATTACTCTTTGTTTTTATCTCAGGCGGGTCGAAGTTGAGACGATGGCATATTTGCACTAGTGTAATTGGGGTATGAGACATTTGACAGCGAAAAAAGGATCACCTTCTCTCCCCAAAACGCAAAGATTTTCCGTAAACTGCACCTAGAAAACTGTTGAATAATGACCATATTAGCATTGTTGTTCAAGACTGACATTTTTGCTTATTAAACCAGCATGTATTTTTATTAACTTTCCATGGACTTTTTAGATACATGAATGACTTTATGGGGTTGGCAAGCCTTAGCATGATTACTGGTGACTCAGTAATTTACTTATCGGACATCAATTTGATAAATATCTTTAGCAACAAAAGTCCCAAATGATCGAATGAAGGCAGTCCAGCTGGCTACTGAAAAGCATGACCGAAAAACCGAACTTGTTCGAAACCACTTCTGCCCATCAAATTTTATTTACAAAATTATTGTCCATAGAACTAAAATCTATCTACAATTATTGTGCGTGAATTTCGTTTGAACCGGTGACTAAGTTGTTAAAGTGTAAGAGATCCTGCCCTAAAATTCAAGACCTTGGATGCCACGCTCGACTAATTCTTAAGTTTTCGTTTGAGTTAATTTACTTTTACTTGCTCCCACAAACCAGACTACAGGAAAGTAAAACAAGGCTTTCTGGGTCAGTATCCTGTAGCGGAGGGGACAACAACGAAGGCCTTGTTCTTTCAAAACCAGCAGAGGATGGAGGTCGGCAGTTTTTTGTCAATGACTCAATTATTGGAAGACCTAGTGGAGCCTTCATTGTAAAGGTAATGTTCGTTTAAGGTTCGAGTTAGATTAACAAATTAAAGCACGACCATCTTAAGTAAGCAAAATGGAGGGATCACTGAATACTTACTAAGACTTAGCGTGGTCGGTTGCAAAGAGTGCTTCCACCGTTCGGAATATGGAGTATCATTCAGGAACTACAGAATTATAGCATGTCTCTTAATAGAGTGACAAGCCAACTCAACAAAACTTCAGGATATTAATTTCAATAGGCTTGCTATTACTCTTGCTATCTTCAGGAGTTCCCCCACTCGGGGAAAGAAATAAGTATCATAAAATTCATGACTCGAGATTTTTTGGGTGCGTTTACTCTAGCTTGAATTTAAGCCAGGTGAAGCTGTGATAGTTGGCCTGTGTGATTTGTTTCATCGTCGTCATTTTTTTAAAGCTAGTTTTGTATTTGGTAATCATCTGAGCTAACTCTACCACCTTATATCATCTCAAACCTTAGGTTGTAGAAGTCTACTCCAGCGGAAATTTTCTTCTGGTGGAAGTAATACCTGCCAAATTGGACGGAAATGGAACCATTACTACAACTGTAGATATAAACATACTGAAAGGCCACAACAGACGAAGTAGGCGCTCAACAGGATACGATTTCGAATTGGCAAGTTTTAAACCCGACGGAATACATCACAGGGTACAGCATCTTTTAATAGTTCTGCAAAAGTATTGTAACAAACCAGAGAATTAGGTAAATGCTATGTTAATGTTATCTATCTAAATCTTCTCAATTTCTCCACAAAATTATGTCCTGCAAAATTTTTTCTTTTTTCTCAGTTGCTGTCAACGGAAAGCGCCAAGGTACAAGTCTCTTTCGAAATGTTTTTCGAACTGACTATGTTTCTTAAGATAGAAAAACAGCGGTACGGATTCGGAATAGAGGACGCGACTGTTGGCCTGGAGTTAGAGGGGAGATTGGATTCCTCTCTGGAATTTAGTGTTGATAGGGAGTTGAGGTAAGCAAATTTAATTTAACCCCAAGATTACTCCGATTTATTCGTTCGGCAAAAGAAATTAATAATGTAAAATGAAATCTAAGAAACTGATGTTATGATGGAGAGTTTTTTCGTTTTTTTTGCGATAAAGCCAACATTTTCCTTTTAAAATTAATTCTTGCGTGATTCTTAAAGTTGATCCTTGTGTGATTTTGCGGTCCAATATAGTCAGCCTACGAGCAAAAGAAGACTTAGCTGATGGGGATTAATTAATCATCCTTTTCATTTTTGTCTACAGATATAACAAAGACCTAACCATCATGAAACGAAAACAGCTCGGTCGTTCAATTTACATTCCCGTTGGGCCAATTAGAATCCCTGCCGGCATCTTCTTGGAAATAACAGGATATGCATCTGCTGGATTATCTGTAAGTTGGCGGTTCAATTCTTACGTGCTAAACTTTGACCACTGACCTTGGAAACATTACGGCTCTCTCATTTAATCTCTATTATAAAAAACCATTGTCATGAAACACTTCAATAAGTTAACATAAGCAATTACATTTCCTCCATCTTGCCTACTATTTAATGATTCTACATTGCAGCAGCAATATATACTTTCGAGTAGGGAAGAAAAATATCGCCTAAATACGAAGGGGTTGAATTAATTTTCTGGCTTTTCTTCCTAGGGAAAAATTTCTCGTTCATTATCAGTCAGCGGAAGAGTCTCTCTCGGAGGCGAATGCTGTTGGAGCCGTGGTAGTTGCTACAAAACTGCTGATACTGTAAGGGAAGAAAAATTACACCTAAAGTTTTCAGTTTATTGATCATTCAAGTGTTAGATGTACTCTATAAACGTTTTTCCGTTTGACTGGTCTCTATCTGTTGACAAAATGACGGCCTGTACTTCTTGCTCCGGTGTCAAGGATTGCAACACCGCTAATTTTTCACTAAACTGTTCCAAAATCAAGTGATTTCTGAGCTTTTGCGCAATAAGCACCGTTATAGAATGATGGGTTTTTTGTCTTTTCTTTTATCATGACTTCAATCAGGTTAAAACTTATTTGGACTTTCAATTGTGATAATTTCTTTCAACGTTCGTCCTCTTGACATTCGTCTTGTCAATCATCATCTTGCTAAGAAAATGGAGGCCTACCGTTCTCGCTTTGCATTTAGGATAGAAAGGGGCTTTTTTTCTTTCGGTAGGGAAGCATCAAATCACACGACTCAGTCTTTGAAATTCTGCATTCTTTATTTGGCCTTGTTCTCCTCATCAGCATCGTTCTCCTTTCCTTATTCCTCTCTTTTCATCTCTCCATTTTTTTCCCGTTTTTTCTCCGTTTGAGATCACATTTTATCCATTTTTGACATATCACTAATTAATATAGGTTACTCTTCGCAAAGACTGGAGCAGCCCAGATCCGCAATTGGAAGCTGGAGCATTCGTCAAGATTACAGTGACACCCAAAATCTCAGTGAAACTGCCAGCGTTTCCAAAATCGCAATCAAAGGCAATCAAGACATCAGATTTTCGTTTCTTTGACGATTTAGGTGAGATCAATCAAATTATTCTTTCGTGCGGCCTACTTCTATCCAATTTTAACCAAAGTTCCTGATTATAAGTAAGATAAAGTTTACGTCAGGTAAGGTTCAGTTAAGAGGTAGTTGCATTTAATTCTAATTTGGAAAACGCTCTATTTTCAACACTAGCTACCCCGACCATACGTTCTAGTCTTATAACAGGGTTTAATGAAGATAATTTTGTTTCAGTTGAAGCTGTTTTTGAGTATTTGGACGTTTCCATGGAGGTATCTGTAAGCGTACCACTAGAAGCTGGTCTGAACATACAGCTTCCCTCGTCACAATGCAGTGGAAACAAACCTGCTGAATTGGAAAGCTTCTACGGAATTTCCGGTGTAAATCTCTGTGTCTCGGTCGAATTTCTTAAAAAACAATTGACACTTGAACTTCCTTTGGGATTTTCTCAGAGAAAACGCTACTGGTAAAAAAAACCTTCACATTTTATACAAACAACCTGACTCCTGACATATAGATTAGTGACACAAAGAAGTAATAACTATACACTCACTTTTGTTAATGAAACTAACTGGCTTAAATGCACGAGCAAAAGGAGGCTATAAATGAAAAAAATGATATCCCTACCCCTGCAAATGTAATGCAATGCTTATGAACAAAGTGGGATCTTCCCTAGCTAATGGAGGTAAAAGAAACAATTATTCTAAAGAGAAAATCATTCCCCTCGTCCTTTTTGCATAATGAAATAGGTAAAAAAAAAAAAAGTTTGGAAAAGAGAAACAACAATAATGATAACGTTAGTTAAAAAAAATTCTGTGTTACTTCTTAGCTTTAGGAAAGAAACCTAGACGCCTTGTTCTGCTTGTAAGCAAGAGAGCGCATGAACATAAATAGGTAGATAAGTGAGTAGATAAGAAAACGGATCATATAAAGATAAGTGAATGGCGGTCATGACTTCCGTTTTTATTAAATTATTTAATCAATATTTACCGTTCTTTCCTAGGAATTGTATATGTCCAGTTAAAAGTGAGAGAGTAAGTTATTTTAACTATAGCTTACATGAATTAATGCTATCTTTTATAATCTTACCTTTCAATTATATTCCGCCTGCATTTTGTCCTTTGTAGTAAGCGCCCTACATATGGCGTTATTTCATTCGTTTTCAATATAATTTGCATGTTCTTTGTTACAGTTATGTGTGGGACTTCCTTCCCCGCGACCGAGACCACCTGAAAATGACAATCCAACACCTGGGAATGGAAATCAAACACCTGAGAATGGACTACCATGCGGGTAAGAGTGCTGATAATTCTTTCACATAATGTGATATGGCCCGGAGCTTCAAGCGTGTAAATAACCTTCCGGTCCGCAGATACTGCTGTTTGCTTGGTCTTAAAGTTATTTTAAGTCTCATGAAGAAAAAAATGTGCTGAAATGATCATGTCACTTCAAAAGAGATCGGTTGAAGCTTTGCTAGAGATATAATTAGTTGGAAGAATATTGCAACAATAATACAACTGACTGACCAACTGGCCGGGCAGCCATTTGGCCGACAGGCTGAAGAAATGACGGTTTAATTAACTGATTGATTGACTGATTGACTAGCTGGCAGACTGAATAACAGAGCAATCAGTTGAATGACTTACTGACCGACTGACCGAATGGCCGACAGATAAATTTATGGATTCATCATTCATTTACTTTCTCGGAAACAGTAAGACCGGACAATTTCCATGTGGAAAGGGACCTATCTGTGTTGGGAAACGAACGGGCCCTGATTGCAATCAGCCAGATACGATGCATCTTCAGAGTATGTAACTGTAAATAGACTTGCAAAGTGTGAACCTAATTGCTCTAACGTTATTATAGAGAAAGCAAAAAGAAACAGAGAAAAAGCCAATTGTAAAAGAATTGGCATATAGCGTAAGCATAAGTCATTAACATTAAAATTTGATTATTTACAATAATTACTCAGCAGGGCCTAGTTGTTTCGAAGCCCGATCAGCGCTGACCCGGGCTTAAATTTTAATCCAGGTTTCTTTTTTTCTGTTTTCAAAAGCCTTTAGGGGAAATTTTCCCTTTTCTTTTTATAACATCCAGTGATCAAATTGCAAGCAAAACAATTTGAGCTAAATTTCCTTTCAACGCTTTCAGACCCAAAATCAAATTTCACACTAACCCTGAGTTATCTTAACCCAGCTTTCAACAACCTGGGCCCTGATGATTATAGAACTGCGCGCGTTCTGATTGGTTGAGGATTGCGTCATATCTCGCTACAATCACCTTGCGCAAGGTGACCATAGCAAGGGCACTAAATTTCAAAATGGCTGCTTTGCGTTTTGTCATTGTTTTCGAGGAGGTGATAAACGCGATAGAAGAAAATTAAATTGCGAAGGGCACAGAACATATGTTACCGAGTCTGGCTCGGCATTGCTTACCCTAGTTGAGCCTAAAAGCCAAAAAAGGTAAATTTTCGATCATTCAGCACGGCCATTATGCTGCACCACTTCCCGTCCGTATGTTTACCCTGTTTTACAGTGTAATACTGTGGCATATTTTGCGCGTTCCTTTTCCCTAATCATTATAATATGGCGAAGTACGGAAATTACAAAAGTATTTATATATGTTTCAGTCCTCTCTAAATATATCACTACAATGATCATTCTTTTGTCAAAGTCATGATAATTCGCTTTACAGATTGTTCAGGTAACGGACATCCTATCATAGCCCCGAAGTGTGAAGCGGTGTGTAACTGTATAGGAGGGTGGGAGGGAGAATTTTGTGAGCGCTTAATTGCAAATGGTGGAGGTGACCCACATCTGGAAACATTAGATGGTAAGTAGACAAGAAAAAGCGGATTCTATATTCACTCATTTACGAGCGAGAGATAAAGACAAATTTAAAAACCATGTGAGCGGCCCAACAACTTGCTAATCAAACTACTCAGTTAAACGATAGATCTCCGACAAACCTTTGCGTTTTCATTTGTAAATGAGAGCTTTATTTCAGGGTTTGTGTAATGTTTATGACTGCAGTTTTGATTTTTACCTTCTTCGCCAGGTGTTAATTTTGACTTTTTTGGAATTGGAGAGTTTTGGGGTTGCAAGAGTATTAAAAACGATTTTGGTCTTCAATTTCGTTTTTATTATTACGAGCGAGCTTCGCTTATTGGTGGAATTGCACTCAAAGCCGGGAGAAGTGTTGTTACGATTATGACGATCAAGACTGAAAGAGTTCAAGACTTGCCCATTACAAGGTTTGGATTTTGCTCCTTAATCACCAAACAAAGTATTTCTATAATAGAGGCTGTAGCCAGGGTGACTGGGATCTTCAAGGTACTTATTTGTTCAAATACAACCTATTGCGATGTTGAATCATTAGCCCGAATAAAGAGATGCAAGTCACCTTGGTTGAACCAGTGTCATTCAAGAGCTTGTAGTGACTGACCTTGATTTCTCGACAGAATCGATGGAGTGGAAATTAATGCAACCAGTAATTTGTCAGAACCTATTGAAATAAGTAATGGCACAGTGTTTTTGGATCATCAAAGACGTTTTTCGTTTGAGGCTGAGGAGAACAGCGTCGTTTTAATTTCACTTCAGTATGATACAGGCAAGTCCCAAAAATTTAAAGTATTTTCCTTTTTGCCCTGGCCATTCATAATATCAGTAGGTATGGATACTAGTGAGCTGTACTTTTACCCAGAAATAAAAAATGCTTTTAGCTTCTCAAATTCCCCAAATAAATGGTTTTATGCGACGTCATTTTCAAGGGATGCTCTTCGTCCATCATGTTGGGCCAAATTTTGGAGGGTTTTCCTTATGTCTATTTGTTTATTTTGTTTGTTGGTTGGTTATTTGCTGTTTTGCTAGTGAGAGAAAGAAAACCTTAAATCCAACCCCAGGGAAAATCCTCTAAGCCAGTATAGGAACTTTATCACTTAACCCTTTAACTCCCAAGATCTCATTAGCAATTCTCCTTACTGTCTGCCAAATGATTCTCATTATCTTAGTTTGGAAAATTTGGTATCGGATCAATTAGTAATCCCGTAATTGATATTTTTCTTTATTCTCATCGCTTTTCTGCATGATATTGTATGGATATAGTAAGGAGAAATTCTGTCTTGGTCACTCACTGGAGTTAAAGGGTTAAAGGGTTTGACTTTAATGAGATGCACAAACTGAGAAGAAATGCCAGCAAATCAATCAATAGGACTAGGACGCGGCTGAACTAGCCCGAGACGTTAACCAAACGAGCTGAGATGGTAACAAACTGGTCGACGGCGAAACGAAACCTAAGCGGAATGGTGGGTTATTGCTTGACGGTATGTAACGCCGATCTTGAAAGTCGAACTCAGGCCACAGAGGTCAGAGAAGAAAGCCTTCATTACCGTGGTAATCCAGCCTCGTTACATTTCGTTGCGTCTAATGTCTGATTTACTTCTCTCAGGTGTAACAGTAACCATCGATGTTCGACATAGTCGAGTTATGAAGAGACAGTATTTGAATATTCTCTATTCGCCGACTGCTGCTTACAAAGGTCACACTGAAGGACTGTGTGGCTCCATGGATAACAATGCCACAAACGATTTCATGGGAACTGACGGAACTCTTTACGATAACGCCGTTCAATTTGCCGAATCATGTAAGCAAAGCTTATCACATAGTTTGATCAAGATGTCAACCCAATATTTTTAGTTAAACATTTATTGGTATTGAGAGCAACCTTAAAATACAACAGATTTGAGCAACAGAATCAGCAGCAGTGTGCAGACATTGAAATAATCAATCTAGGCGAGCTTAGTAACTGAGCGAAGTTGTAGAAAGATGCAGATGTACACCAAAACTTTAAAGAGATTTTAAGATAAGCCAAACGAGGATGTTTTAAGTAACATTAGCTTCGTTATCCGATGTAACCTTCCTCCGGTTTTTTAATCACTATAAATGGGGTAGTAATCTGATAAACACTTTATCTTCGGCATGATAAGCAATGCACAAATTGTCGAACTGTATCAACCTATATGCCGATGAAACTGTTTCTTTCATTTAAAAGGGAGGATCACGGGTTCCCACGATGGCTCAGGCACAAGGGACTCTTGGTCTTGGAACTCATCAAACTTTCATCACGATGACATAATGGACATAACGTACACAGATCCCACATACATACCTGCGTATTCTCTGGACGGAATTTCTCAGTCTCTACTGCAGGTTAACAAACCCATGTGAATAAATCAAAGCCATGACTTAGATCTATTATGTGATTGGTCATTTAGCAATAATACCATTTGAGCAATGATAGGACTATGTTGCTGCACTGCTTTTATTTGAACAGTGTAATTGATTAGTTTATGCCTTGTGAATGTGTGATTGGACAGAACGCTTCAATCCCCATTCCTCACTTGTTTGATCGCAGACCAAATTGGGTTCCGCGCGGTTCATTTGCCATTACTGAAAAAGGGGAAACTCGACTGCAACAAAAATAAAAAAAAGATAAACCTACTTCTTTGACGAACCCTATGGCATACCATGAAGAAGGCACATAAAAAAAGCAAAACAAATCAAAAAGCTGAAATCAAAAACAAAACCATCACGTCAAGCCAGGGTTTGAAGGAATGTAGTGAGTCTGCTTTAGCTAAGTGCCCTTTTCCTTACCTTAACTTGAACTAAGCTTCCAGGCACTTGTTTAAAGACCCAAGGCGATTGAGATGTACTTCTTGATTTAAGTAGGAATTTATGACTCGTCTGTATTAAAAACCAATCTATCTTCAACGTAGATTGCAACAAGCATGTGCAAATCCTTGAACATCTCTGATAACGATTTACAAGACTGCATATTCGATGTCGCCATTACCAATGACACGACATTTACTGATCAGGAAACCTTTAAACGAGGTAAGCTTTCTTAACGAGTGCTTTGTAAGGATGATTTCATAAGTTTAAGAACTAATTTAGTTTGTCTTTAGAGTGTAAGGACATTTGCTTTTTCACTTTATATCAAAATGTTACCCCTTATCATCCAAAAATATAGAGATTGGATAAAAAGTGCCTCAAAGATATTATCATTGATAAAAGTTGTATTAAACATGACAACCTGAAATTTTTAGAGTGTGCAATGAGGAATTTTTGAAGTAACAGTATTAAAAGGTCGGAGCGCTAACTTGCTGGCTTCACTATGTTCACGATATCTGATTCTTTGTGGTTAATACATCAATTTATTTTTTATTAATCGATTCGCAAAATTCGATTTCTCTGTTTAAGATTGTCCTGGCCAATGCTCAGGTAAAGGGAGATGTATCAATGGAACATGTAAATGTATCGAAGGTTGGACAGGGAAGAGTTGTGACAAAGGTATTGATTATTTTCAGTTGAGTTTTATCAACAGGTGTTAGATAGTCAATGCGGACGCCTGGATCTCTCTGCTAGAATTCTTCAGTAAACTGTATTTCTCTGTATTCTGTATAAGACATACAGTTATACGCAGCATAAGGGCTCGCTAAATTTTGTTGTGCGTGTGTGTTTTTCACTTCGTTTGTGTGTTGTTAAGACTTTTTCTGTTTTCAGGGCTTCTCAGTAAGTTCAATTTCCATTCTGAGTTTTAACATAGCACAGTTGGGTTTTTCAGCGTTGCTATCTGGCATCTTCACACAAAAATCGTACCTCGTCGATCTTAACTTTGTCATCGAAATTTTCTTTCACTCAGGCTCTTGTCTGAACTGTTCAACCATCCATGGCGAGTGTGTTAAAGGATTTTGTGTCTGTGACCTGGGCTGGGAAGGACGGAGCTGTGAACTGGAAGGTTATGCCGTTCGTCTTCTAACTAAAATAGTGTATATTCATTTTGTCCTAAGATCTCCTCATATTGACACCAGGCAACTCTTTTAAGCTGCTAAATAGATGTTTTCAAAGACTATAAATGAGCTAAGGTCGCATTCTATTGGATTGTTTGAGCAGGATGGATTTTGTCTTTTTCTCAGGAAAAGTTGATCTAATTTTTCAACTAGCATCGAGTTTGAAAGATTGAGAAAGAATGAAGGGGGACAGTGGACGTTTCGCTTGCTTCTAGAGGTCAAGCGCTCGTTTCATTTTCCGATAGAAGTGCCCTTTGTCATGATTTTCCAACGACACGCCGTTATATCACACCAAAATGCTATGGTTTTTAAATTATTGTGATCTACAGCCACTTGCCTCAGAGTTGACAACTGTACTAGCCCTGAACACGGCAGTTGCAAAATGACGGATGTTTGCCAGTGTAATCCTGGCTACATAGGTGAGTTACATAAATCTTTTTGCGGCTGTTTGTTGTTGATGTTATCATAAACGCATGCTAGATTATTAAAAAAAAAAAAGATCAGTGGTAAGAGAAGGCGAGAAAAATCGGTGGGGGTCTAGAGAGGAGTGTTTCATTTTAGTTGTAGTAATCGTGATAACCAAAAAGAATAGATGGATCAGCAGCAGGTTTCATTATGGTTGGCTCGTGGTTGGTGGGGAGCGAAGGTGAACAATTAGTCACAATGGACGAGCGGAGTGGATAATTAAGGCTAAATTTATTTAAGAGATTATAGTGTAGCAAGTTTAAAAGTAAACCGGTAATGGCTTTTTTTTAATAATCAGCCATACCAAGAAAAGATGAGATTGATCAATTATTCAATCAATTCACTTTTGCTTTTAATTGTGCTAGGCAGAAATCTTATTCTAAAGTTCGTACTTTACATAGCTACCTTATGCTTATAAAAATACCATCAGCCCGGTATATCGCCCGAAGTACTACTTGTTCTTAAAACAGTTACATTTCTCGTATTCCTAGGTGCTAACTGCAGTATTGTTCCGACTTGTTACGATGTATCAAACTGTTCTGGAAATGGAATTTGTGTGGATTTCGATGTATGCAAATGTAATATGGGATGGACTGGAAGCAATTGTGCCCAATACTCTTGCGAACAATTGGATTATTGCTCCGGTGAGTTGTCTTTGGAAATTTTATACATAGTTTACGAATTAAGTTATATTCAGATCTCAGAGGAGCACAAAGACTTCATCAGCAAGAATACTTTGGAATGTGATTTTTCGCACAAGCAAAGTCAATCTCATGTGAAGAACGATTAATTTAAAAACGAATATTCATTGCTGGGTGAAGGACAAATATTCTCATGAGGAGACTCAGAAACTGACTTTCTTCCCAATCAAATATTGTGTCTTCAGGGAGGAGCAGTAATTCTTCTGATAAGCTTGCTTAAAAAAATGAGATTCTGCTTGAATGGATTTCATCCTGGGAGAAGGGCCGTGCCTCTTTTCAGAAGAATACACCATTAACTGGTTCTTGACAGACGAATTTTGTTCATGTGGGAAAAAATAGTACTCGTCGAACAAAAATTAAATATACACGAGATTCTTCTCATAAGAATTATTTACCTTGGGAGGAGACCCACAGTTCTTTCCTCAAGAAGCAGATTTCTTCTCCTTAGAATTATAATTTTCCCCTGGGGACGAAAAATCTGAAATGATAAATTCTTTTCTGAAGAGACATGATTCTTTCAGAAAGAATTTAATTTCTGCTCAACAGAATTGAACTTAAGAGTGATTTAGAGTGTTAGAGTTGAAATTCCCGACTTTCCTTCCATCCCTCATTGCTTCTTTTAGTTTGTCCTTTATAACGTTCTCCTGATCCGATGCTAGTACTAATGTTTTCATGTCCTTTTTTTCCCGCTTGCTGTTGATAAGAACACGGTAGCTGCGTGGCATTTGACAAATGTGCCTGTGATTATGGCTGGACCGGAGTAAGCTGCGCTCTTCCTGACTGTGAAGCTGTCAATCAATGTTCCAAAAGAGGAGAGTGCATTTCCAGCGACAAATGTCGCTGCCTTCCAGGATTTATTGGAGCGGATTGTGGTCAGATGGCGGACTGAAGTCATCTCGCAAACTGCAGCGGCCAAGGTGTTTGCGTTTCTACCGAGATGCTGAATGTGTCGTGCAGTTGCTACCTTGGTTTTACTGGCGATGACTGCAGTCAGCCCACTTGCACAACCGTGAATAATTGTTCGGCCCATGGTGCGTGTGTGGAAGCTGAGTTCTGCAAATGTGACTTTGGATACATCGGAACTGACTGCAGTAACTTTTCTTGTGAGGCTGTCAACTTTTGCTCTGGTAAGTACATTATTTTGAAATTTAAAATGGTTTCGTCAGAAATCTTTTCCTAAGTCGCAACTCCTATGAACACATCATACAAGCGAGGAGAACATAATTTTTTTTACCAAAAAATGACATATTATTTGCCTTCCACGGTCTGAGAGCAAATGGTCACAGAGAGTGTCAATGTCTTTGTGTGATCGAAATTGTTGGACACTTTCATATAGAAGTGCTTTTCTCGCGACGATCCGAGCTCACAATCCTGTCTCTATGATAATGATATTGACGTTCTCCCCGACAGTTTTCATTCCCGAATTATTTATAGCTGTAGCTTCTAAAACAAATAAATACGATAAGATAAGGCTGACGAACGTTTTTTTTTCTTTTTTTCGCTGCAGGAAATGGAAAATGTGTCGGCTACGATCTTTGCCTCTGCAATTCCTCTTGGTCGGGTCGCGCATGTAGTGTTCCTGATTGTAGTGCTGTAAAAAATTGCTCTAGCCAAGGAGATTGCGTCCTGCCTAACATTTGTTCTTGTTATCCAGCTTTTGATGGCGAAAACTGCGACCAGAGCACAAAAGCAAACATAAATCCTCCAAGATTTAACGACACATTTTATAGCGCAACCATTGTGGAAAATTCTCCTGTAGGAACAGTGATTTTACAAGTAAAAGCCAACGATACAGATTCAGGAAGAAACGGTCAGATATTTTATGCTATACTTGGTGATGATAACGTAGAAAGTATTCTTACCGTTGGCGGACAATCTGGAAAGGTTTACATCGCAAAGAAGCTGGATTTTGAAACAATTGAGATCAAATCATTCAATGTGACCCTGGTTGCCGCGGATAATGGATATCCACAGAAATCTGGAATCGCTACTATGCAGATAACAATAGTGGATGAAAATGACAATTGTCCAAGCTTCATCGAGCCACCAGGAGATCTAAAACTAGAATTCTTTGCACTCATTCCCGGAGAAACCGTAACCAAAGTTTCTGCAATTGACTTGGACAGTGGAGTAAACAGCGAAATAACTTACAGCCTATCCAAAAATGACGCGTTCTCTATTGATCCCAAAACTGGTGTAGTTACCGTGGTGTCCAACCTGACGAAGAAAGTTCATTATCTCATTGTTAGTGCCAGTGACAATGGGGACGTTTCTTGCATAACAGACATCAGTTTGACAGTTGAAATTGGCGTCTTTCCAACCACAAAAGCCCAGACTAGACCCACCACTTCATCTACTTTTCCTGAGACTTTGCCTCCCAAAACAGAGCCCCGGACTAGACCTACCACTTCCTTCACAAACAGGAAATCCGAAACCTCTGGTACTAAGGCGTTCACAGGTGAGTTTGTTTCTATATGTAAACGGTGAGAACATCATCAAAGCGCTTTTCTTGGCTAAATAGTTAAATGACAACCTCAAAGGAGAGAAAATAAATGAACAAAATACTTACAAGGGAGATGAACGAATATGGAGCGAAGATGAACGAGATGAACAAACGACAAGATTCACCCAATTCAAAACGAAACGCCTGACATATTTAACCGATTTGACCTCTTTAACAAGTAGAATTAACTATTTTACATTCAGCACTGAAATTAAAGATGGAGTCAACTCGCTTACCGATTCAGTTCTGCAATTGAATCAGTACTGGAGGAACCGCATAGAAATGTCATGGAGAGATTGAAAAGAGTTAACGTAAACGTTGTGTTCATTTCGCGTGCAAACACGTTACCAGTTGCTATAAAAAATTCAGAGAGTGATTAACTATTTTAACATCGTTTGTATTATAAAAAGGTAGTAACAATTCATTAATGAATAAAATAAACCATGCTTGACGCAAACAGATCCGACTCCTTACTCAAGCGGATAAGTAAAAAAAGAATTCATTTCTTTTTCGTTCGAGTTCAAGTTTAAAATATTTTTTATTCTTTCTTTTTGGACAAAGGAGCGACTACTTCGCATGTACCAACGGAGGTAGGCGCGGTTCCTCGCGAAGGTTCAATTTATGGAATAATTGGTGGGTCTTTAGTTGGAGGAGCACTGCTTTTTTTGATTGCCGCGCTGGTGATCAGAAAATGTCTTTGCAAAGACAGGACATCTCCGGAAACTACGGGAAGATTGAATGCTGGTATGGATTTTGAGCTGTCTAAGAGGATGTGAGAACATGCTATATCTGGTGACAGGTTTCAAAATGAAAGTTCGCCATGAGAGAAATAACCCGAGCTACCTTCTTGGGTTACCTGTGGTCGCAGTACTTTACTCGTATACTTAGCAGTAAAGAGAACCCTTTTTTACAAGCTCACTTAATGAGTTGATAGTATTAGTGTCAATATCAGTCAGTAACAAACAGAACAAATATATTGCAATGTCAGTGTCATTAAGAGATTAAACCTCTCACCTAAACCTAGTATATCGCTGTTATATAAAGATTATCAGTAGTACAGAAAATAGCAGTGGTAATAGCGCTAGCAGTAGAAGTAGTTGTAGCAATGGAAGAAGCAGTATGCTATAGGAGTGGTGTTCACAAGGGCAGTAGCAGTAACAATAGCAGGAAGCCATCAACTAACCTACCTATACATCTAAATCTTAGTTAGAGATGATTGTTGGTTACATATCTCTAGTTTCCCGTATATCATAGGAGGAAAATTTTAGGAACGAAGAGTGCACATATTAAGTTTAATTTTCTATCTGATTTTGAGTGTGAAACAAGTTTGAATAAAAGCGTGGATTGTTTTTAATTTTGTTGTGCAGTGTGAGAAGCGGTTTTATATATAGCTCAATCAATAGCTTTCATACGCGATTAGAATTTAGTTCTTCCCAGGACAGCACTAACTCCTCACCCCTGACATGACTGTTTCTTCTTTTCTCGTAAAAAAAAAGAATAAAAAGAAAAATGTTTCAGCCGCATTAACTGAAAAGAAATTAATAATTATAAAAAACTCTAATTGAATTTTTGAAAATGTCCATTGTTTTTAAGCTCAGCTACCCTAGATGTAGTTTCTTGTGAGCCAATAAAACCCAGGAATTGCAATAGTATGGGTAGTTTTCAAAGTGAGACTCAGAAAACCTTCAGAAATTATTCATTGTTCTGTTTCTGATGGCCACGTCACGTTGTAACCAATCACATCCGAGTTAGAACACAAAAGAAAAACTTCAAACCCGGATATTGATCACCATTGTTGTAGACTGCTTAGTTTTCTCTCAGCTGATTGGCTTGAACCCTTGAACTCCCAGAAGTGATTAACATGTAACTTCTCCCTATAATATCCATAAATTATCCAGTAAACAGGTAATGAAAATCCTCAAACTTTTCTGGAAGAATTTGTTATTTTGATCTAACACTAATTTTCACGGAAATATATAGCTGCCAGAGGGGAGAGTAAGAAGTCAGCGGAACTTGGGATTTGAAGGGTGAACCCTTTAACCCCCATGATCCTATGAGTAATTTTCCCCTCTATTGTCACACCATTTCCCTATGAACAAGATGGGATTTGGTCCTATATCAAGATAACACCTACTCACCAACAGGCTTATTGTATGTTTTTATAACCTGTTATAATAAACATATTGGAATCGTGAGGAGAAATTACATGTAGATAAGTTTTAGAAGTGAAAGAGTTAAAAATTTTTGGAGCCCCATACACAGCATTCCTTGATTACGATTATTTCCAGTTTCATGAAATGCGCTTGAGTGAATAAAACTGTTTAGTTTTGTTTGCGTTTCAGATACTATGTCATTTACTTCATCCACGCTGTTTCTGGTCCTCATCTTTGTCATCTGAACGCTCCAAGCTACTTGCTACTTCTCTCTGCTTCGCTACTCCAGGACAAGATCAAACAAAATTTATTTTACCTCAATGGCAGTCCTTCTCGCAGAGGTTGTGAAACTTTTCACAATGTTAGTGGCGATCTTTTTTCAGTGTGGAAATGTAAAAGCATTCACTTTGTATCTCATTGCCAATTTGTTTGTAGATCACAAGGCTACGTTTCGTCTATCTGTGCCATTTTTATGGTATGTTGTACAAAAGAATCTTGTTTATAGTGCAATGATGCATCTAGATCTAAAATCAACAACATTTCAGTTAATATGGGAAAAAAACTTTTTTCGTTATTTTGAAAGTCTGGTTTTAAACTTTGCAGATATGTTGCCAAATTGGCAGTTATAAATGCTGTCTCTGGAAACAGACAATTTAAACTCTTTAACTAGGAATGTTCAACATCTAATTAATCTGCCCATGGTATCAATACAATATCCAGCAAACAGGTATGAGAATACTCAAACTTATCAGGTAGAAGTTGTTATCTTGATCTAGCACCAAATTCTACCACTTAATTAAAAGGAAACGCCTAGCAGCTAGAGGAGAGAATTAAGAATCAGATCTTTAGAGTCAAAGATTGAACCCTTTTATGGGTATGATTTCAGCTCCAATTGTAATAATTATACTTCGACGTCTCAGTTCAATTACAAATGTTAATCAAAACTATAACAAAGTTCTTGAACGCGATTGGTTATCACCAGCCCGATTTGAGCAGTAATAGGACAGTGTGCGTGCTACGTTTGTAATTAGGCAGTGCAATGGGACAGTTAACCCATCATGTCTGTGAAAATGGAAGTATGCATCACGTGTGCGTGCTGTTGTCGCGTATTTCGCCAAGTTTACTGTGATTTTTTACTGAAGATGTATATCTAGGGTACAATCGTCACGCAGTAGTTAATTATTTTGCAATAAAAAGTTCTATATGTGCTTTTTAAAGTTATTTGAGAGGGGTCGCGTGCTTTTGTCGCGTATTTCGTCAAGTTAACTGAAAACGTATAACTGGTGTGTAATCGTCACGCAATAGTTAATTATTTTGCAATAAAGTTCGATATACGCTGTTTTGAGTTATCTGAGAAGGGTCGTGTGGTCTGTAGCCATATTTGGCGCGACAAATGAATAGAATGTGCACCAGCTGCTTGAAGATACTAAAGACAAGCATGCGTGTTGATCGCTTTGCAAGTTTTGAGAACATCGTCCCCGGGTTTCAGACCCTGTCAATTCTAAAATACTAAACTTGTCAAACACGTGCAGAGTTTCCCTAGATTTTCTCCTTTTAATCAACCTAAGTTATGATGTAGATTTATAAAATAATTCAAATAGTACGTGCGCTCTGATTGGCCATGAACCATTTTACATCAGCGTATGTAAACACGGTTTTCGTTCCTCTTTCATTAGTTATTTTATAAAAGACTTGGGAGGTTGGGAGAACACTTGATAAGCTGGAAACCACTTCGGTTCACGTCGTGGTTTCCTACGCTTATCTCGTGTTCTCCCAACCTCCCGCATGTTTACATCAGGGTATGTAAACATGGAAACCATTTTACATTTCTTCAATCATAAACAATATGCACATTGCATGGTTTTGTCATAAAAAAATAGCAGAACATTTTTCAAACAGGCAAGCTTAAGTACACCTTAGACCAATTATGTTATGATTATGTGAAAAGATATCTTATGATCGTGAGGTTTTCTATCATTATGGCAATGTTGTAACTTTTGTGTCTAGTTTTTTCAATTATACCCTGTTTTTTATGGTCTTTATATTAGGAACTAAGGTGAAACATGAATGAATTAAACTATGATCTGATTTACTTTAATATTGTGTAGTTCTATTGTTCTCTTCGTATCTCTTGTGCTAAACCTTGCGATGATATCAGTGGGTAAGATTTTCAGCGCTAGCAGTGTAGGGACTAGGGAGTGCATGGAGGGAGTCACCGGCTACCCAGGACACCCTTGCTACGCCCTTGAGCTCCAAGTGACACCCAACAGTCATCTTTAACACACAGGCCTTTACCCCTTAATGGGAAGGCAGGAGACCCCTGGACGTAAGTTGCCTGTACTTTGTTTACTTTGAACGACTACTGTACAACGAAATTAGCAACCAACTATGCTTTTATTCAAACTTATCTCATATTCAAAATCAGATAGAAAATTAAACTTAGTATGTCTACTCTTCGTTCCTAAAATTATTCACCTATATATATATGGAAAATATATATAAGATATATGGAAAACTAGAGATATGTCACCAGTAACCATCTCTAACTGAAATATAGATGTACAGTTAGGTTAGTTGATGGCCTTCTGCTACTGCTACTGCTATTGTTACTGCTACTGCCCCTGTTAACACCACTCCTACAGCATACTGCTTCTCCATCGCTACAACTACTTCTACTGTTACCGGTATTACCACTGCTACTTCCGTTACTACTGATAATCACTATATAACAGCGATATACTAGGTTTAAGTGAGAGTTGTAATCTCTTAATGCCACTAACGTTGCAACGCTTATGTTCTGTTTGTTACTGACTGATATTGATACTAATACTATCAACTCCGTAAGTGAGCTTGTATAAAAAAAGCTTCTCTTTACTACTGTGTATACGAGTAAAGGACTGTGACCACAGGTAACCCAAGAAGTTATCTCAGATTTTTTCTCTCTAAGGCAAACTTTCATTTTGAAACCTGTCATCAGATATAAGATGTTCTCACTTCCTCAAAGACATCTCAAAATCCATACTAGCATTCCATCTCCCCGTAGTTTCTGAAGATGTGCTGTTTCTGCAAAGACATTTTCTGATCACCATTACTGCAATCAAAAGAAGCAGTACTCCTCCAGCTGCAGACCCGCCAATTATTGCATAATTTGGACCTTCCTGGGGATCCGCGCCTGCCTCTGTTGGTACATGCGAAGTGGTCGCTCCTTCGTCCAAAAAGAAAGGATAAAGAATATTTTTCAAATTTGAACTCGAACGACATGAAATGAATTCCGGCTACTTCATTCTTTTTACTTATCCGCTTGATGAAGGATTCGGATCTGTTTACGTCAAGCATGCGAGGTGCGGGTTTCCATACCACGGTTTATTTTATTCATTAATGAGTTGTTACTACGTTTTTATAATACAAATGATGTTAAAATAGTTAAACACTTTCTGAATTTGTTATAACAATTGGTAACTTGTTTGCACTTTCAATGAACATAACCTTTACGTTAACTCTTTCCAATCTCTCCATGACATTTCTGTGCGGTTTCTCCAGTACTGATTCAATTGCAGAATCGAATCGGTAAGCGAGTTTACTCCATCTTTAATTTCAGTTATAAATGTAAAATAGTTAATCCCGTTGTTAATGAGGTCAAATCGTGGTTTGTGCATCTTTAAATTTAAAATAGTTATTTCTAACTGTTAAAGAGGTTAAATCGTGGTTTGTGAATCTTGAAAAATTTAACGTAAATATGTCAAGGTTTTTGTTTTTCAATTAGGTGAATCTTGTCGTTTGTTCATCTTCGCTCCATATTAGTTCATCACCCTTTAAGTACTTTGATCATTTATTTTCTTTGGTTTGAGGTTGTCATTTAACTATTCAGCCAATATAAGCGCTTTGATGATGTTCTCGTCATTGACAAATGAAAACAAACTCACCTGTGAACGCCGTTGTCTCAGGAATAGTAGATGTACCAGAGGTTTCGGATTTCCTGTTTGTGAAGGAAGTGGTAGATCTAGTCCGGGGCTCTGTTTTGGGAGGCAAAGTCTCAGGCAAAGCAGATGAAGTCTGGGCTTTTGTCGTCGGAAAGACGCCAATTTCAACTATCAAACTGATTTCTGTTATGCAAGAAACGTCCCCGTTGTCACTGGCACTAACAGTGAGACGATGAACTTTCTCTGTCAAGTCGGACACCACAGTAACCACACCAGTTTTGTTATCAATAGAGAACGCGTCATTTTTGGATAGGCTATAAGTTATGTCGCTGTTTACTCCACTATCCAAGTCAATTGCAGAAACTTTGGTTACGGTTTCTCCGGGAATGAGTGCAAGGAATTCTAGTTTTAGATCTCCTGGTGGCTCGATGAAGGTTGGACAATTGTCATTTTCATCCACTATTGTTATCTGTACGGTAGCGATTCCAGATTTCTGTGGATATCCATTATCTACAACAACCATGGTCACATTGAATGATTTCATCTCGATTGTCTCAAAATCCAGCGTCTTTGCGTTGTAAACCTTTCCAGATTGTCCACCAACGGTAAGAATACTTTCTACTTTATCATCACCAAGTATGGCATAAAATATCTGACCGTTTCTTCCTGAATCTGTATCGTTGGCTTTTACTTGTAAAATCACTGTTCCTACAGGAGAATTTTCCATAATGGCTGCACTATAAAATGTTTGGTTAAATCTTGGAGGATTGATGTTTGGTTTTGCCTTCTGGTCGCAGTATTCGCCATCAAAAGCTGGATAACAAGAACAAACGTTGGGTAGGATACAATCTCCTTGGCCAGAACAATTTTTTACAGCACTGCAATCAGGAACACTGCATGCGCGACCCGACCAGGAGGAATTGCAAAGACAGAGGTCGTAACCAACACATTTTCCATTTCCTGCAGCGAAAAAAAAAAGAACATCGTTTGTCAGCCTTGTCTTACCGTATCGCTTTGTTATAGAAGCTACAGCTACAAATAACTCGGGAATGAAAGTTGTCGGGGAGAACGTCAAGATCTTTATCGTAGAGACAGGATTGTGAGCTCGGATCGTTGTGAGTAAAGCACCTCTCTATGAAAGTACCCAGACCGGACCAACACTCAGGGTCTTAAAATAACTGAGGAGAATGTGCTGCCTTTGTAATTGCACCAGTAAATGGTTAGACATTCAAGTCTTCTCGGATAAGGACTATAAACCGTAGGCCCCGTCTCCTGCAGTGGTGGTCTATCTGTTGTTTCATTGTACATTTCATGCATGGGCTGGGTGGGTGAGTGAGATCAAATATGGACTGATAGCGGCAGCCAGAGGCGCCTTTAGAAGCTAACGTTCGATCTCACTCAATTAGAATTGTAAACCGCCTTGAGACAGTATGTGATATGTGCGGTATATAAATACACATTCATTCAATTTCGACTACTCAAAGACATTGAAACTCTCTGTAACCATTTTTCTCAGACACTGGAAGGGAAATGATGTCATTTTTTGTTAACAATGATAATGTTCTCCTCGCTAGTATGTTGTGTCCACAAGAGTTGCGACTTAGGAAAAGATTATTAACAAAACCAATGCACTTGCCGGAGCAATAGTTGACAGCCTCACAAGAAAAGTTACTGCAGTCAGTTCCAATGTATCCAAAGTCACATTTGCAGAACTCGGCTTCCATGCACGCACCATGGGCGGAACAATTATTCACGGTTGTGCAAGTGGGCTGACTGCAGTTGTCTCCAGTAAAACCTAGATAGCAACTGCAAGACACATTCAGCATCTCGGTGGAAACGCAAACGCCTTGGCCACTGCAGTTTGCAAGATGACTACAGTCCGCCATCTGACCGCAATCCGCTCCAATAAACCCCGGAAGGCAGCGACACTTGTCGCTGGAAATGCACTCTCCTTTATCGGAACATTGATTGACAGCTTCACAGTCAGGAAGGGCGCAGCTTACTCCGGTCCAGCCATAATCACAGGTGCATTTGTCAAATGCCACGCAGCTACCGTGTTCTTATCGACAGCAAGGAAGAGAGAAAGGACAGGAAAACATTAATACTAGCATCGGACCAGGAGAACGTTATAAAGGACAAACAAAAAGAAGCAATGTAGGATGGAAGGAAAGTCGGGAATGACATCTCTTGGTAGACTATGAAAATGATTTCCCAAGATAACTCACCAGAGCAATAATTCAATCGTTCGCAAGAGTATCGAGCACAATTTCTTCCAGTCCATCCCGTATTACATTTGCATACATCGAAATCCACACAGATTCCATTGCCAGAACAGTTTGATACATCGTAACAAGTAGGAACAATACTGCAGCTAGCACCTGGAAATACGAGAAATGTATCTGTTTTAAGAACAAGAAGTGTTTCGGGCGATATAACGGGCTGATATTATTTTTATAAGCACAAGGCAGCTATGTAGGGTACGAACTTCAGATTAAGATTTCTGCTGAGAACAGTTAAAAGCAAAAGTGCATGGATTGGATAATTGATCAATCTCATCTTTTCTTGGTATGGCAGATTATAAAAAAAGCCATCACCGGTCCCCTCCGCTCGTCCATTATGACTAATAGTTCGCCTTCGCTCTCCACCAACCACGGGCCAACCATGGTGAAAGCTGCCACCGATCCATCTTCTTCCTTTTTGGTTATCACGATTACAACAACTGAAAAGAAACACTCCTCCCCTGACCCCCGCCGATTTTTCACGCCTTCTCTTTCGTTTATCTCCGCTGACCGAGAACTTACAATAGCAATGGTTACCATTGATCTTTTTTTAAAAGTAATCTAGCTTGCGTTTATTATAACATCAACAACAAACAGCCACAAGAAGATCCATGTAACTGACCTATGTAGCCGGGATTACACTGGCAAACATCTGTCGTTTTACAACTGCCATGTTCAGGGCTAGTACAATTGTTAACTCCAAAGCAAGTGGCTGTAGATCACAATAATTTATAAACGTCAGTATTTTGGTTTGATATAAAGGCGCGTCGTTGAAAAATCATTACAAAGGGCACTACTTTCGGCAAATGAAATCAGATCTCGACCTCCAGAAGCAAGCGCCCTTCTTCCTTTTTCAATCGTTTCAAAGTCGATGCCAGTTGCAAAATTAGATCAACTTTTCCTGAGGAAAAGAGAAAATTTAGCCTGCTCAAACAGTCTCAAACAAGCTCATTCATAAAGTCTTTGAAAACATCTATTTAGCAGCTTAAAAGAGTTTCCTGGTGTCAATATTAGGAGATCTTCGAACAAAATAAATATACTCTATTTTATTTAGAAGATGACCATGAACGGCATAACCTTCCAGTTCACAGCTTCGTCCTTCCCAGCCCAGGTCACAGACACAAAATCCTTTAACACACTCGCCATGGATGGTTGAACAGTTTAGACAAGAGCCTGAGGGCAAGAAAATTACAATGACAAAGTTAGGTCGAAGAGTTACGGTTTTTGTGTGAAGATGCCAGATGGCAACACTGAAAAACCCAATTGTGCTATGTTAAAATTCAGAATGAAAATTGAACCTGCTGAGAAGCTCCGAAAACAGAAACAGTCTTAACAACACAAAAACGAAGCAGAAAACACACGCACAACAAAATTAAGCGTGCCTTAACGCTGGGTATGATTGTATGTCTTATACAGAATAAAGAGAAATAAAATTTACTAAAGAATTCTAGCAGAGAGATCCAGGCGTCCTCCTTATCTATGTAACACCTGTTGATAGGATTCAAGCTGAAAATAACCAATACCTTTGTCACAACTCTTCCCAGTCCAACCTTCGATACATTTACATGTTCCATTGATACATCTCCCTTTACCTGAGCATTGGTCTGGACAGTCTTAAACAGAGAAATCGAATACTTTGAATGAATTATTAAAAGCCATTTGAAATATTAGCCTTAAAGAATCAGATCTCGTGAGCATGTTGAGGCGAGCAAGTTAGCGCTCCAGCCTTTTTATACTGTTACTTTGAAAATTTCGTATTGCGTACTCTTAAACTTTCAGGTTGTTGTATTTAATACAACTTTTTATCACTGAAAATATCCTCGAGGTAATTTTCATCTAATATTTGTATTTTTGGATGGTAAGGAGTAACATTTTGATATAAATTGAAACACCAAATGTCCTTTACTCTCTATAGAAAAACGAACTTGGTTCTTAAACTTATGAAATCATCTTTACAAAGCACTCTTTAAGAAAGCTTACCTCGTTTAAAAGTTTCCTGATCAGTGAATGTCGTGTCGTTGGTAATAGCGACATCGAATATGCAACTTTGTAAATCGTTATCAGAAATGTTTAAAGATTGGCACATGCTTGTTGCAATCTACGTTGAAGATGAATAACAAAAAAGAGTCATAGTAAATCCTATCTCAAATTAAGAAGTTTATCTCAATCATCTTAAGTCTTTAAACAAGCGCCTGGATGCTCATCTCAAATTAAGGTAAAGAAAAGGACACCAAGCTAAAGGAGACTCACTACATTTTTTTTAAATCGTGGCCAGACGTGATGGTTTTGTTTCTAATTTCTGCTTTTTGTTTTGTTTTACTTTTTTACGTGCGTTCTTCATAACAGCGATCAGATTGTATGCCAAGAAGCAGGGTTTATTATTTTTTTTTATTTTTGTTGCAGTCGAGTTTCCCCGCTTTCAATAATGGCAGATGAACCGCGCGGAATCCAATTTGGTCCGTGATCACACAAGTGAAAAATGAGGAATTGAAGCGTTCTGTCCAATAACACATGAATAAGGTAAAGACTAACCAATCACACTGTCCAAAAAAAGGCAATGCAGCAACATAGTCTTATTATTGCTCAGATGGTGTTGCTAAATGACCAATCACATAACAGATCTAAGTTATGGTTTTGATTTATACACATGAGTTTATTAACCTGCAGTAGAGACCGAGAAATTCCGTCCAGTGAATACATAGGTATGTATGTGGGATCTGTGTACGTTAGGTCCATTATGTCATCGTGATAAAAGTTTGATGAGTTCCATGACCAAGAGTCCTTCGTGCCTGAGCCATCGTGACAATCTGTGATCCTCCCTTTTAAATGAAAGAAACAGTTTCATCGGTATATAGGTTGATACAGTTCGACAATATGTACATTGCTTATCATGCTGGAAACAAAGTGTTTTTCAGGTTATTGTCTTCATTTTGCCGGCCACAGACTACCCCATTTATCGTATTTAAAAAACCGGAGGAAGATTGTATCGGATAAATCACCTATTGTTACTTAAAACATCCTCTTTTTGCTTATCTTTAAATATCTAAAAAGTTTGGTGTCCATCTGCATCATTCTACAACTTCGCTCAGTTACTAGGCCCGCCTAGATTGATTATTTCCATGTCTGCACACTGCTCTTGATTTCTTAAATCTCCCTTTCTTTGTCAAAAACCTGTTCTAACTTTGAATGGAATATTGGACTTTAATCCCTTTTTTTAAGTATGTGCTTGCATTTTCCAACGACTGAAGAAACGATTTCAAAATGACTCGTTTTGCTTTCAGCACTCAAACGGACCGCTGCTGTCCCACTTGACAAGCAACTCTTCTCTAACCTACCAAATGCACAGTGGAGATAAGAAAATCCTACTAACAACGTGTTTATTCATTGCGTACTGTTAATTAAAGATACTTGTTTTTCCCCTCCAGTCCGTGACCCACTGCACAGACCTAAAAGACGAGGTTACTAATACGTATGTAAAATTTTGCTGTATTTTAGGGATTTTTTCAATACCAATAAATGTTTTAACTAAAATTATTGGGGTAACACCTAGATCAAACTATGTGATAGGCTTTGCTTACATGATTCAGCAAATTGAACGGCTTCATCGTAAAGAGTTCCGTCGGTTCCCATGAAATCGTTAGTGGCATTGTTATCCATGAAGCCACACAGTCCTTCAGTGTGACCTTTATAAGCAGCAGTTGGCGAGTAGAGAATATTCAAATACTGTCTTTTCATAACTCGACTATGACGGACGTCGATGGTTACTGTTACACCTGAGAGAGAGATTTATTTGGGGCAATTTGAGGAACTAATAGCATTGTTTATTTCTGGATTCAGCTCATTAATATCCTACCTACCGATCTTATGCATGGCTGGGACAAAAAGGAAAATACTTAAAATATCTTTTAAGGACTTGCCTGCATCATACTGAAGTGAAATTAAAACGACGCTGTTCTCCTCAGCCTCAAAAGAAAAACGTCTTTGATGATCCAATAACACTGTGCCATTACTTATTTCAATAGGTTCTGACAAATTACTGGTGGCATTCATTTCCACTCCATCGATTCTGTCGAGAAATCAAGGTCAGTCACAACAAGTTCTTGAATGACACTCGTTCAACCAAGGTGAGTTACATCTCTCTACTAGTGAGTCAACATCGCAATAGGTTTTACTTGAACGAATAAGTAACTTGAAGATCCCAGTCACCCTGGCTACAGCCTCCATCATAGAAATACTTTGTTTACTGATTAAGAAGCATAAACCAAACCTTGTAATGGGCAAGTCTTGAACTCTTTCAGTCTTGATCGTCATAATCGTAACAACACTTCTCCCAGCTTTGAGTGCAATTCCACCAATAAGCGAAGCTCGCTCGTAATAATTAAAACGAAATTGAAGACCAAAATCGTTTTTAACACTCTTGCAACCCCAGAACTCTCCAATTCCAAAAAAGTCAAAATTCACACCTGGCGAAGAAGGCAAAAATCAAAACTTCAGTCATAAACATTACAGAAACCTTGAAATAAAGCTCTCATTAACCAACCAAAATACAAAGGGTTGCTGAAATCTATCGTTTAACTGAGTAGTTTGATGAGCAAATTGTTGGACCTCTTTTAGGGTTTTTACATTTCCCTTTATCTCTCGCTCTTAAATAAGTGAATGTAGAATCTGTTTTTTTTGTCTACTTGCCATCTAATGTTTCCAGATGTGGGTCACCTCCACCATTTGCAAGTAAGCGCTCACAAAATTCTCCCTCCCATCCTCCTGAACAGTTACACTCCGCTTCACACTTTGGGGCTATGATAGGATCTCCGTTACCTGAACAGTCTGTAAAGCGAATTATCATGACTTTGTCAAAAGAAAGATCATTGCAGTGATATATTTCGAGAGTGCTAAAATATACATGAAAGCGTTTGTTATTTAACTACTTCGCCGCGTTGTCATGATTAGGGAAAAGGAACGCGCAAAATGTACCGCAGTATTACACTGAAGAACAGGGTAAAAATACGGACGGAAAGTGGAGCAACAAAATGGCCTCGCTGAATATCGAAAATTTGCTTTTTTTGGCCTTTAGGCTTAACTCTTTAGGAAAGGAACCTATAGGTGAACCTGATTTTGTTGTTACATTGGTCTGAAGGAACACTTAAGTAGTTTCGCTTTTGTTGTTTTGTTTTTAGCGCACTCTTTATGCAATCGATAAGATGCTCAGAACGGCCGTAGTAAGTATTTTGTAGACGAAATTTCTGAAAATGAGGTAAAAATGGAATAAGAAATCCCTTGTCGGACAGTTAAAAAAAAACAAAGTTTAAAGAATTGCTTTGCTCCTGTTTTTCCCCGCTCTTGTGGGTTTCCAAAAAAATTAGCACCTCGCAAAATATCCGCGCTTATCATATTTTAAACAATTGAAAGAAGTGTTTGTATGCAGATAAAACAATCTGGTACCAAGGTCGTTTACTCGTGGAACTATTGAATTGAACTTTGATTTATAGAGATACAACAAATGCGGCTCCTGATTTCATGATTATCTTCACCACCACCGATTATCTTCATATTAGTAATAGTAATATTAGACACAATGTCAGCTTCATGAATTCAAACTTATTTAACACAAATCTATTTGAAATAAGATTATAAAGAAAAAGCAAAAACAGAAAATAAAAAAGCCGAATAGGAATTAGCTAGCATACAGAAATACCCTGTAGCTGTTCGCACGTCAGCTGAACAATTTTCTCAAAATTTCAACCTAGAAGGTCTTCCAACTTCTTGAAAATTTCAGATGTAGTTGTTATAGAAATTTCAAGTGATTCCAAGAAAAACGAGATCTATATTCTTCTTTTAAAAAACTCCTCCGCCAAACTCAATAGCATGTTTTGTTCTCTTCGCAATTTAATTCACTTTCATCCCGCTTATCGCCTTCTCGAAAACATTGACAAAACGCAAGGCAGCCATTCTTCAAAAGGAAAGTTAATTCAGATCATTCTGCTTGCAATTTGATCATTGGATGTTCAAAAAATAATAGGGAAAAATTCCCTTGAAAGGCTTTTGAACAAAGAAATAAAGTAACCTGGATTGAAATTTAAGCCTGGGTCAGCGCTACTCGGCTTTCGAGACAACTGGGCCCTGCTGAGTAATTATTGTCAATAATCAAATTTTAATGCCGATGACATATGATTACGCTATATGCCAATTGATTTGAATTCGGCTTTTTCTTTGTTTCTTTTTGCTTTTTCTATAATGACGTTACTGCAATTAAGTTCACAATTTGCAGGTCCATTTATTGTTACATACTCTGAAGAAGCCCTCTATGTGGCTGATCGCAGTCAGAGCCCGTTCGTTTCCCAGAACAGATAGGTCCTTTTCCACATTGAAATTTTCCGGTCTTGCTGTTTCCGAGAAAGTAAATGAATAATGAATCCATGAATTCATCCTTCGGCCATTCGGTCAGTCGGTCAGTAAGTCATTCAACTGGTGGCTTAGTTATTTAGTCTGCCAGCTAGTCAATCAGTCAGTTGTATTGTTGCTGCAATATTCTTCGAACTAATTCTACCTTGCGCAAAGCTTCAACGAATCTCTTTTGAAGTGACATGACCGTTTCAGCACATGAAGTGAAAGAATAATCAACATTCTTACCCACTTGGAGGTGGTTTATTTCCTTTATTATTTTTCGGAGGAGGACCAGGTGTTGGATTGCCATCCACAGGTGGTGGAGGTTGCGGTGGTGGAGGTCCCACACATAACTGTCACAAAAAAGATGGAAATTATATTTAAAACTAATAAAATAACGCTGTAGATGAAGGACGCTTACCACAAAGGAAAAAAGTCAGACGGAATAGAATGGAAAGGTTAACTACTAAAAGATGGCATTAATTCATATAAGTTTTAGTTATAATAACTTACTCTCTCACTTTTAACTGGACATATACAATCCCTAGGAAAGAACAGTAAAATATTGATGAAATAGTTTAATAAAAACGGAAGTCATGTCCGCCATTCAATTATCTTTATATGGTCCGTTTTCTTATCTACTCACTTATCTACCTATTTATGTTCATGCGCTCTCTTGCCGATAAAGAGAGAAAGGCGTCTAAGTTTCTTTCTTAAAACTAGGAAGTATCACAGAATTTTCTTAATTCACTTTATCATTATTGTTGTTTCTGTTTTCCAAACATTTTTTTTTATGTATTTCTTTATGCGAAAAGAACAAGGACAATGATGTTCTCTTTAGAATAATTGTTTCTTTTACCTCCATAGTCTAGGGAAGATCGTACTTCATTCATTAGCATTTGCATTACATTTTTAGGGGTACGGATATCATTTTTCTCATTTATAGCCTCCTTTTGCTCGTGCATTTTAGGCAGTTGGTTTCATTAGAAAAAGTGAGTGAATAATAATTACTTCTTTGTGTCACTATTCTATACGTCAGGAGTCAAGTTGTTTGTATAAAATGTTGAGTTTTTTTACCGATAGCGTTTACTCTTAGAATATCCCAAAGAAAGATCAAGCGTCAAATGTTTTTTAAGAAATCCAACTGAGACACCGAGATGTACATCGGAAATTCCGTAGAAGCTTTCCAATTCAGCAGGTTTGTTCCCACTGCATTGAGACGTAGGAAGCCGTATGGCCAGACCAGCTTCTAGTGGTACGCTCACAAATACCGCCATGGAAAGGTCCACATACTCAAAACCAGCTTCAACTGAAACAAAATTATCTTAATTAATAATGGTAATAGGACCAAGTGATTGACAAACTCGGACGACCGCAAAGCGGGAGTCCTATTTGTTAATCACGAGTATTACAGACAGAATTGGACGACAAAAAGTCCTGTCATCAATTAATCACAACCATTTCAATTTCCGAAAAAAACACATACACCTAGAACAAATATCTCCGGTGGAGACGTCTCTAGTATTCCCCCATTTTGGAAATTCCCCTGCATTTTGTTTTTGGATAAGTGGTTATTGCGATCAATGTTGTGATTGGTGGATTAAGCTGAGTGGACCTTGTATGATTGACTGCTTTAAATGTCCGATTACAGGTGTGCAGTTACAGCCAACTCTCCGATTGCACTATCCGATTACAACTGTTCAGAATGATTAGTGAAAAATGAAGCTGCAAATGCACCAATAACATTGGAGGAATAGTTTATGATTAAACCCTATTATAAGACTAGAACGTATGCTTGAGGTAACTATAGTATTGGAAATATAGCAATGTCCAAATAAGGTATTCCGAGATTGCATCGATTTTGCTTTAGTTCGCCTTGTGATTGGTCTAACGAAGGTTTGAAAGCCGATGGTTCTTAAGAAAAAATTTGATCAATCAGGGCGTGAAATTAATTTTTTCTGATAGCCACTGGGCTCTTAAATTCTTCAAAGTGGTAACCAATATAAAAAAAAATTGGTCGCCATTTTCAAAGACAAACAAAACCTTTTTTAACGCTGTCGGCTTTCAAATAGACTCTCCAAAATTAAGTTAGGGAAAAGATCTTTAACGTACTACAAATTGGACACTAGGATGGATGATATACAACTTTCAAGCTCATATAAATCCAAGATGGCGTCTAGTTATCGATCGAGATGCATGTGCTGCGTTTTGGAAACAAATTTACCAAGGAAGTTTGCCGCGGATTTATCTTTGCAAATCTTTTTAATTCACTTTATCTCTTAGTAAGGTTATGATGAAACATTCCAGTCGCCAATTTCGCGACTGATTTTCAGGATTTGGTCGCCAAAGTGAAAAATTCAGTCGCATTAGCGCCTGTATTAGGCGCAATTTCAACTCAATGAGTTGATGTGGGGCGAGAGCGTTTTGCGTCCAATATGCAAGGCAAAAATTCGAATGCAAATATCTCCTATCTGCACCTTACCTGATGTAAACTTTACCTAAACTAATAAATCAGGGACTTTGGTTAAAATTGGATTGAAGTAGGCCGCACGAAAGAATTGTTTGATTGATCTCACCTAAATCGTCGAAAAAACTAAAAAAGGATGACTTGATTGCCTTTGATTGCGATTTTGGAGACGCTGGCAGTTTCACTGAGATTTTGGGTGTCACTGTAATCCTGACGAACGCTCCAGCTTCCAATTGCGGATCTGGGCTACTCCAGTCTTTGCGAAGAGTAACCTATATTAGTAATATGTCAAAAATGGATGAAATGTGATCTCAATTCGAGAAAAAAAGAACAAATATAAGAGGAGAGGAAGAAGGAGAGGAGAACGAGTAGCTGATGTTGAGGAGGAGAACAAGGTCAAATAAAGAACGAAGAATTTCAAAGATCTAGTCGTCGTTGCTCAGGCTTGTTGGCGCTCACTTACGGAGTTACAGTGACGAGGCGTTCGATTTTCGCTTTGATTTGATGCTTCCACTCCGAAAGAAAAAAAGACCCTTTCTATCCTAAATGCAAAGCGAAAACGGTAGGCCTCCATCTTCTTAGCATGAGGATAATTAACAAGAAGAGGCTTAAGAAGACGAATATTTAAAGACATCATCCAAATAAGTTTTGACTTGATTGAAGTCATGGTAAAATAAAATCCCACGGAAGTATGACGGTGCTAATCGCGGAAAAGCTCAGATATCACATAATTTTGGAACAACTTTGTGAAAAAGTGGCAGTATTGCAATCCTTGACACGGAGCAAGAGGTACAAGCAGCCATTTTGTCAACAGGTAGAGACCAGTCTATCGGCAAGAGGTTTATAAAGTATATCTAATGCTTGAATGATCAATAAATGAAAAATTACTGTGTATTTTTTCTTCCCTTACAGTATCAGCAGTTTTGTAGCAACTATCACGGCTCCAACGGCATTCACCTCCAAGAGATACCCCTCCATTGACTGATAATGAACGAGAAACTTTTCCCTAGGGTAAAAGACAGTGAGCTAATTAAACCTCTTTGTATATAGACGATATTTTCCTTAACTACTCGAAAGCATAAATTGCCGCTGCGAGCTTCTTGGCCACAGTACTGTACTTATTGAATCTTTGTTGTCTTCCTGGGCCAGGTTCGTGTTTTGGTCGTCCTTGATCTCGCCGAGACAACTAATACAGGTAGCATGCAATCATTACGTCCCATCGCTGATTTCGCACTAACCAACCAACAAATTGTAAAACTGAATAGCTGACTGACTGAGTGGTTTGCTGTCTTGATCACAGACTGAGTTGGTAATAGAGGAAATACAAGTGCTTGTGTTAACTCATTGAAGTGTTTCATGACAGCGTACAATCATTTCAAATAATAGATCTTAAATGAGAGAGCTGTGACATTTTCAAGGTCAGTGGTTGAACTGAAACGTTGGTGAATCGCATCGCCAACTTACAGATAATCCAGCAGATGCATCTCCTGATATTTCCAAGAAGATACCGGCAGGGATTTTAATTGGCCCAACGGGAATGTAAATTGAACGACCGAGCTGTTTTCCTTTCATGATGTTTAGGCGTTTGTTATATCTGTAGACAAACATAAAAAAGATGATTAATTAATCCCTATCAACTAAGTCGTCCTTTGCTCGTAAGCTGATCGTACTGGACCGCAAAATCAGACAAGAATCGATTTAAAAGGAAAATGTTGGCCTTATCGCAGAAAAGAACGAAAAAGCTGTCCACCATAACAACGTCAGTTGCTCAGATTTCATTTTCCATTATTTTTTTCTTTTGCCGAAAGAATAATTTCGAGAAATCTTGAGGTTAAATTAAAATTGCTTACCTCAACTCCCCATCAACATTAAATGTCAGAGAGAAATCTAACTCTCCCTTTAACTCCAGACCAACAGCCGCATCCTCTATTCCGCCTAACCACTTCGGTTCTATCTCAAGAAACATAGTCAGTTCGAAAAACATATCCAAAGAGACTTGTAGCTTGGCGCTTTCCGTTGACAGCAACTGAGGAAAATGAAAATTTTAAAGGACATAATTCTTGGGAGAAACTGAGAAGATTTAGATAGATATCAGAGAGCAAATTTAACATAGCATTTACCTAATTCTCGGTTTGTTTACAATACTTTTGCAGAACTATTAAAAAGAAGCTCTACCTTGTGATGTATTCCGTCGGGTTTAAAACTTGCTAATTCGAAATCATATCTTGTCGACCGCCTGCTTCGTCTGTTATGACTTTTCAGTATGTTTATATCTACAGCTGTAGTAATGGTTCCATTTCCGTCCAATTTGGCAGAAATTACTTCCACCAGAAGAAAATTTCCGCTGGAGTAGACTTCTACAACCTGAGGTGTGAGATGATGGAGTTAGCTCAGATAATAACCATATGCAAAACCAGCTGATAAAAAAATGACAACAATAAAAAAAAAGACACAGGTCAACAAATACAGCTTCATCTAGCTCGAATTCAAGCTGGTATGAACACACCCAAAAAATCTCGGATCATGAATTTTATGGAAGCATAAAGAGAAGCACTCTTTGCAACCGACCACGCTATCTCTTGGTAAGTATTCAGTGATCCCTCCATTTTTCTTACTTAAGATGCTCGTGCTTTGATTTGTTAATCTAACTCGGACCTTAAACGAACATTACCTTTGCAATGAAGGCTTTACTAGGTCTTCCAATAATTGAGTCATTGACAAAAAACTGCCGACTTCCATCCTCTGGTTTTGACAGAACAAGGCCTTCGTTGTTATCCCCTCCGCTACAGGATACTGACCCAGAAAGCCTTTTCTCACTTTCCTGTAGTCTGGGAGCAAGTAAAAGTATATTAACTCAAACGAAAACGTAAGGAGTAGTCGAGCCTGGCATCCAAGGCCCTGGATTTCAGGGTAGAATCCCTTACACTTTAACAGCTTAGTCAACGGCTCGATCGAAATTCATACACAACAATTGTAGATAGATTTTAGTTCTATTGACAATACTTTAAAAAGAAAATGTGGTGGGAAGAAGTGGTTTCGAACAAGTTCGGCTTTTCGGTCATGCTTCCTAGTAGCCAGCTGGATTGCCTTCGGTCAATCATTTGGGACTTTTGTTGCTCAAAATTTATCTTTTTGTTGTCCGATAAGTAAATTACTGAGTCACCAGTAATCATGCCAAGGCTAGCCAGCCCCATAAAGTCATTCATCTATCTAAAAAGTCCATGAACAGTTAATAAAATACATGTTTACTTAATAAGTATAGATGTGTGCACTTTTCACCAAAGCAAAAATGTCACTCCTGAATAACAATGCCAATATGGCCATTAGTGAACAGCTTTCTAAATGAAGTTTACGAGAAATCGTTGCGTTTGGAGAAAGAAGGTGATATTTTTCGCTGTCAAATGTCTCACGCCCCAATTATACTGGTGCAAATATGCCATCGTCTCAACTTGGACCCGCCTGATATTAAAACAAGGCCTCATCATTAACATCAATACCTTGTGCCTTTCCAATGAGAGTTTGCTTCACATCTCTGAAATTTCGTTTCCAAGTAATCGGTGTTGTTCGTTCTATGAACTTTAACAATAGTCTCGATGAAACCATCACTGGTATTGGACACAACTATGTCACCTTTCTTTGGGATGGTATTGTTCTTTTCTATTACCAGGTAAAACGAGTGGACAGTGATTTTTCTAGTGTCATATGTGTGACCAAGGCACTTGTATATCCCTAAAAATGATGATTAACAAATCTGTTTGAATTTTTGTGAGTTTAGTATGACTTTTCGAAACAAAAATATCTTACAGGTCCTGATGGTCTGTTAGTCTCTTCATCGTATCTGTGCTTATTTGCTCCCTTGTTTGTCTTTCATGCACTTATGAGGAGTTATGCACGCATTAAATCGTAGATATAACTAAATGATCCTCAGTCATTTACGAAATGTTAAGCTGGTTGATACAAAAATGTTTACCTACCATTTTTAAGCGCAATTACCCGACCCTCATCTAACGTAATGTTGCCTGTAATAACGTCCCGCAGGTCATCTTGATTAGGCTCATCCTCAAACGTCGAGTCGTCGTCTACTTGCACTGCAGTGACTTTGTCTTTAAAGTCCGCATACTTGATAATCTCTTCTAACCCTGCTGGGGCGCTCAACATCAGTTGAAAAGGACCTTTCGAAACAATAATAAATTTGAACATTGAACGCAATTAGGTATGTTTTAGAGATGCCTTCGCTATTAATTGTACTTAAAACAAGATGCAGTCCGGTAAGATCTCAAACAATTCACAACGGTAACCAGATGGCTTATCTTACATTTAGTATTTACATGACGTACAGTTCTTGGAAAATAATTGGGAAAAATTTTCCGCTGACACTTAGTAGCAAGCCTATGTCAGCCATTACCGTACTGACGACTAATTTCGCTCATGCCCCTTTAAAGAATTATTAACGCAGAGCTTTTTTAAAAACCACACCTTCTCAAGTATTTAAATGATCGAGGACTTTGTAAAGGTTGTGACAGACATTTATAGTCATTACACTCACCATCGCTGATTTCTTTGACAATCTTATGCATAATACCTCCTGCCTGAGGACTACACAGTATGTCACCCTTTTGAACTTTCAGGACTTTTGGTGCAACTAAAACTAGCGACACCCTCTCTTGATTTGGCAAAATCACTGGACACGCGTAAACGAGAGTCTCGTTAGGCTCCACAAACTTCACGTTTTTAGCAAACTCCACATTATTTCTCCTTTGAGGATCTGTATAATTCACTTTAATTTTCCCGCCTGGACACTTAGTCTCATTCCACGACCTGCACTGGTTGTCTTCCTGTTATGAGGTTTAATAGGTAATATATTAATACTACCTTCGCAGTGGTGGATCCAGACCTTAGGTTAAGGAAAGAGGGGGGAAGGGCGTGGATGGCGCGGTGCAGTTGGCAATTAGTATGAGGTAGAGCTGTGGAGATTTCTAACCAAATATACTCCCAGAGGTCATATATTATTATTTTATTCCAAACAAAGTGTTTCATGCTTAATTTTCTCACTTACTGGCAATGCTACTACAAGTTAGATTATCTAGTTCTATCAACAGAATTTGCTACAACCTATTGTTAGTTGCTATTTACACTTAGATATATCTACCATTACTTTCAACTCAGTTTTTGCTCATGAAGACTACCTTAAACTGTCACTAAATTTAATAAGCAACGATAAGCAACAGAAAAAAAGATAAAGATCTTACTGTGATTTTATGACATCTTTCGAGATCGCTGCATTTTTGACAGGATTCAGTGGTTGCTCCTCCATCTTTGAAGTTGCAATACCTACCTCTACAATTCACTCTCTGTTTAAGAAAATATGTGAAAAACACTTATCGTGTGACGATAAGCATGGAACATTGAGTAAAGTAGTATTTTGAGCTATTCTACCAATCATCGTGCCCAAAGACTTTGGTGCATTGGCAGCGCATACGTTTTGTTTGGTTTTCTTGGGCAAAGCAATTTCACGGTGTCCTTCTGCGCGTAGCAGCACAAATGGATATCGGTAAACTGGTAGGAAAACCCAACAAAACACAGAGAGTTATGAGCATATACCGATGCGCAATCCAGGTAAAACTACTCTTTGTTTGCTTTGTGTTTGAAGCGGAGAGTGCTCTGATAGTCAGGGGCCGCTAGATTTAAGATAGTAATAATTAAAATGAGTAAAACAGCGCAGCATAAAACAAAAACCAAAGAAACAAGCAAAAGATAATCCGGAAATAAATATCTAACCAGCTGATAAGCAACACACGCTAGTACCGCCCCGCTATGAGTATAGCATAGTGTTGATGTGTTCACACCACGAATTATTTTTATCCTCTTCACCTACCATTATATCTCGTGAACAACGTTCGTCTCCTATTGTATAACAGTGGTAGTAAAACCAAGCGGGACAACTTATTCCTGGAGGCCCCGCAGCAAAACCTCCGAGGCAGGAGCGTGAACTGTCACACCATCCACAAAATGGGTCTGTCACGCAATCAGCACAACTTTCGTACTTTCCACAGAAGGAGTAAGTGCAGCCATGACCCTGCAGAAACATCCGTGAACTTTCCTGCATTAGGCTGCGTTAGCAAAGATAATTACTACTGTTCTCGTGCGATCAGAGACAGAGCCAATGGGTCTCGAGCACAATGGTTGAAAATTAATGAAAGCACAACTACTGGTGTCCTTTTGATCAGACTAGGATGCTAAAGACATTTTTAGAGTCCTAAGTGGCGACTAAATTTCCAAAATTAACCTAGCGTTTCCAAAATTGTGTTCAAATGTGCTGGAAGCTCAACCAAAATGCTTGTGTTCATTAATGTTATGGACGATCTCACTTCTCCTTCTTCCATCTGTTGGTGATCTGTCTAAATAAAGTAGGGGCAGTGAAAGAAGAGATTTTTACGAAACCATCACCTTTTCTTAAATTCGTCTTATGATCACACGTAAGCGACTGCCTGACAAAGTTGTTTCAAAATGATGGTATCCATTGTCAAATTGTGTAAGACGAGAGAAGATTTTCCGCAGAACATCAAAACGCGCTTTAAGATAAGTTTTCGTACGAGTTTTAGAAGGTGAAGATGAACATTACATAAATCATAAAGACGCTTGAGATCTGATTTCTAAGAGATAAAGATTAACACTCTTGATAATTTTCTGAGAGCGCACTAAATCACCCACACACAGAACCAGCCACACAAATCTAGTTTCTATCCAGCCAAGGCTGATTCCAGTTTTTTAAAAGTGGCCCTGTTAGCTAGGTATCAAACTTGCTACAGTCAACACAGTAATGAGCTATCATGGAATTGAATAGAAATGCCACTTACTAAATATCCGGGGTAGCATTTGCAGACATTGGGACCCATGCATTCACCTTTACCAGAACAGTTATGCAAGTCATGGCAGTGAAACTTGGAACAGTCTTCTCCAGTCCATCCGGGATAACAGAAACACGTAGCACCTATACAGTCCCCATTATGGAAACAGCTGTTCGGGCAGTGGATAACTATGAAGCCAAAAAGAAGTTTATCCAGTTGGTACCTGCTTCCTTCATAGGTAGTAAGCATATCCCTAAGACATGGTGTACAGGGCACGGGAGGGGAGGGGGCTGAATGGAAATCCTCCGTTCCCCTCGGTTTTTACAGCAATTCAATACTTACAGAAATATTTAACGTAAATGGATATCCTATTATTTAATCTACCGGAGGAAATACACGTTATAGACTCTGCATATCAAACATGCTTCTGTGAGGCGTGGTGCTATGCACAGAAGTGCTTATCTCGTTATGATAGTAACAATTACAATGATAATATAGCGCGTTATAGGAGGCAATATTATCGACAGAGTGCGCCTCAATGGTAATGATAATAATAGCATTGTTGCTCATCGCAGCTATGATGATGAAAGTTTGATGGTTTTGTCCTTCAATGTAGAGTCACTAGTACATGCAGATGAACAGTCAAGCTATCAATTGGGGATTGCTGCATTTCGACAAGCTTACTACTTATTTTTGTCAGGTGATGTGGTCCAATGATTTCGTATCGATATTCATCTAGCATGATCATTTCATACAACGAAAGAATTCATTTACCAATTATGATATTGAGTGTGATTTACCTGGCCTCCTCACGCAGACAAAAGGAAGAAATTCATCACAATGAACTTGTGAAATATTTCCGGTGGCAGCCACAACAGGACATACTTTATTTTTCTGATCATATCCGCTGTGGGACTGCAGTAAAGAAAAATGATAAGATAATTGTCTCGAATGTTCACTGCTATTCCCTCTTGTACATCATAATTATTATTTTATTTTTTTGTCGTGAAGAAAATTCAAGAAAAAAAGAACATAGGCACACAAAATGAGTAAATGAGACAAATAGATGGATACACAAAAATGGTGGAAGGTCTCATCATTGTGCCTTAAATGAACCTTAACAGTTGAGGAAGTAAATTATTTTGTTTCTCTATTGTCGGAGAAAAATTACCCTGCACTTATGGTAAGAAAATTTCAGCGTAAAAAATATTTTGTTGCATGAGAAATTACGAAGTGCCATCCCAACCTTTTCGAAGGAGCCAAAATGGCGAATAGGTTTTATGCTTTGAACAGGAAGATGTTTTGACACCAAAACAAAACCGCAGAGAGTTTGATTTGCGGGAATAACAGTTTAAAAGTATTACAAGAAACTAAATATCGAGCTTGATGTTTCCTCACCTCTCTCAAAAAGCGCCTGCTTATGGTCCACAGGGAAGGCAACACGCCTGAATGAACCAAGGATTCTTTCTGTCGAAGATGCTTTATGAGTCGTTTGTCTTCGTTTGAGAGCATGGTGACGAGATTTCCACCATAACTCTACAAATGAAAGTATAATAGCACGCTGAGCGAGCGTATAGCACTTTTCTAAAAAAGGAACAAAATACAGTTCGAGGAAGGCGAAGCCGAGGGACTAGGAGAGGAAGCGAAGCAGCCCCCCATATCACGCACGGTGAAGTCGCCCCCAAGCTTAATTTCCTTGCCCCCTTGTGTATTCCTTTTATCCTCAAAATTCATTTCGTTTAGTCTCCCACAAATGGAAACAAGATAGAGAAAAGTAGAGTGGAGTAAAGAGAAATAAATATATAAAAAAAGAAAAACCACAGCCAAAATACAAGAAAAAAAGACATAAATAGAGTGTCAGTGTCAACCGCGCTTACCCCACAATATTTCTCGGCATCAGTGAAAGTGAAGGAGCCTCCTTTGTACATGTAACACATCTCATCGTCTTTAATCCATTCAGGCGGGCAAGATACTAAGAAGAAAATTGATGAGATAAAAAACTGATGAGCTGAAAATTGATAAACTGTTTTGTATTATAAAGTATGATAAATTGATAAAAAAAAAAAACAAAAAGCACTAAACAAAATACGGTTAATTTCGATTAACTTGAGAAAAGAGTTGACAGTTTAAAACATTTTGAGAGAGAATTGATGTTTTAAGTAGCTGAGCAGTATTTTGATAAAAAGATGTTCATTCTAAGGTAGAAACGTGAGACATTAAAACAACATGAAAGATAGACTTGGACCTAGAAAGTCCCAAAAATATTGACCTGATAAAGCTCTTTGAGGTTGTAGCTTGACGAACGGCCGGAACACAATTGTTATGGACAGTCGATAATCCGTTGTCCTATCCATGATCAGAGAAGAAATCAGATTTGGTACATTCTCTCCCCACCAATTTAAAGTCGCGTTTACTGTGATTGGACTCCCTCTCATTGTGGTACTGAATTGATAACGGTTGTCAGGATTCTGCAAAACGTTTCCATGAATTTCTGCTGTTCCATTGCACAGAATAGTCGCTCCGTAGTTAACATCGAGCCCCCTTGCACCGTTCTTGTACAATGTATTATTTACAAATCGAAGACCGACAGTACTTGTTTGAGAATTATCATACAGCAAAACGTAGTGACCGACGTTGCTATAAAAGAAATTTCCTTGAACAATCGCCCATAACTTTGTTATGACACAAACGCTATCGGCTTTGCCATCCAAATCTCGTGCCAAGTTTCGAGAAAAATAGTTATTGCTCACGTTAACATTCATATAGGGCCCAGAAACTCCCTCTACGTGTAATGTGCCTCCTTTGTTGTACTCTATGGTGTTTGCATGGATATGGCTGACCCGTGGTCTTGTCGTGGACAATTCATTGAGTATCTTGGAATAAATACCTCCATTGTTATTTCCAGCAATGTAGTTATTGACTATTTCAAATACTTGCTCAAAAGCATTGAGGTGAATCGCTCCTGGTAGGCTTCCTCTAAGGACTGGATTTAGACCATTGTTTGTTACCTGACAACGTTCTACTTTGAAAATATGTCTTTCACTTTGAGTCATCGTGTAATGTATACCTTGTTTCTTGTTATCACTAAAAACACTTCCGGTTACCTGGTGTACAGCAGTAGCAGCTGTTAAGAAAATGAAATTTACCTCTTTTTTTTCGTACAACTCAAAGCAAACAAACTTCAGAGAAGGTTATCCTACTTTCAGTATTTAATTTCCTGGCCACATTTATCTTCTCCAAGACCAGATGAAATTTTTTTGTTCAAGAATTGGAAATGTCGACTAACTTTATAAGAGAGACATCAACGAATGACCCTCTTTTACATAGAAGTTAACCACACAACGTCAACATCACCTATGGGAAACAATTCCTCACCTGAGGGAAGATAAGTGTCCCCCAATTTCTCGAACACCTAGCATACACGACCCTAGCTGGATACCTGGCCGACCAAAGAACCATTTTTGTCAAAAGCTGGGGTGTTTTTAAAAACTCACGCACGGTGACATGTATATCAACGTTCACTAATTAAAAAGTTCCCCAACACTTTCTTGTTGACGAATAAGACTTAAGGAGGCAATTATTTAGCTGTTACGGTGTCATTTCTTTGATCACTATGTTTTTCATGAAACACTGAGGATTTCATTTGCTAATGTACAGTTTACCTGTAATGTATTTGTCAATTTGAAATATATCACAACTTACATGAATCACAACTGACGAAGGCCAGGTCATCGATTTCAATATCGGCCCACGCCTCTTCATATCCCAATATCACAATGGAGTAACTGGCGTCAGTGTAGGGTAGCTCAATCACTATCTTTTTCCAGTGAGTCACGTAATCGCTCATGGAAAAGAGCAAGGTCGAATTATCACTAATGTCTTCTATAAGAAAAATGGATAGCGATGCTAATGACTTGGAGTTGCGGTCAAATCGCCTGAAGTAGAACACCAAGTAACAATAATTTTTGTCGCTGGAAATTGATGGGCTGGTAAAGGCAGCATAACCAGAAAACCAGTGTTGCCAAAGATGTAGTACTCCCCCTGCGTAAGATATAAATCAAATACAAAATTTGATTATGTCTTTGACAGATAATTGCATTTGTTGCTGTTTTAACAATGGCACTTTAAGCATGGATACTCTTAGAGACAGGGGCTGCGATTCGCTATCAAATATCTGATAAAATTTGAGACGGTGAAAATATATGGCACCTTTAAGGTTTAGTTTCAAAACTTTAAATTGTCTACAGAAAAACATGGGGAGAGCCGAAAAATCTCGTGCTTCTCTTACAATGTAAGCGCTCATCATCACTTCAGCTGAAATTGCACAGGACTATTCCCCTTCCAGATGAGACAAGATCAACAAGATTTTCGAAAGTTCAAGTCCTGTGCCATAGTTTATACGAAATTCTCTTTTTGATCACAACATTGAAATTGACACAGTTTCACGATTTCTCCTCTCAGCCAATCGTATGAGAGTACTAGAAGTTGAAAAGTAGAGCTCAGAGATCAACATATCAACGTACACGACTTTGATGAGAAAGATAATGGTGGAGTAGTTTGAATTCCTGAGGTAACAATGTTATCAGGCGATCAACGATTTTCCGACATTGGCACAGTTCCAGCCTTCTCTCTTTGTCATTCTACCGTTTAGTTGTTTGATCGATTGCCTCCAAATTAGCTGAATGTCCACTCCCTGACTTTGTTCCTTCAATATTTATTCTTTGGCGATTACTTCTCTAGCTCGTTGAGATACTCCCAGTAGGTTTTGTTCGAGTTCTTTAACAACTTCTCTGCATTCTTTTTCCCGATTCTAATTTTATCATTGGGTCGTCTGAAGTGTTCCTTTATTAATGATAAAGGAAGGGTGCTGATCTCGAAAAACTTCTAGTCCCAATTTTACTTTGGCTGCTGTTCTGATTTCCTTTAACGATCTTTTGTCCCTTACGAAAAGTCGCTCTCAAGAACTTCCAATTCACTCGATAAGGTAGAACGTTTCACTGAGTCACCCACAGTCCTGTAATCCATTTCTAAGTTTTTGACTGGAAGAACCCTATCCACAAAAGCGCCCGGAGGGAAAACGTTTTGTCGATGGAAGGAGATCCCAGCCCTTCCACCTAACTTACTACTTCGTAAAACAATCGAGGTGTAACCAAAGCCAGCTCATATCTGCTCATAAGATAGATCAAAACTAAACTGAGAGATGAGCTCATGCGAATGTCCTTTCTAAAAATCTTTAAAATTTAATCTTATATTACTTCACGACTCACCATTGCCTGAATAGGTGTGGTCATAACCATATAACGTGTCTCCATAATACCATTTCTTTCTCAAGGCAATTCCTTTAAAATGTGATATGGGATAACGCCTCCAGCCACAAAATCCACGGTCAAATGAGCATGGAATATCTGAGGAAAATTTGGTAGAATTGTTGTCAGATCCTATCGTATTGACTCACTCTACCCATTCACAATACACTTACGTGCTACAGAACAGTTGTTGAGCAAAGCGCAGACGTTACAATAGCAAATCCAGAACGGGGGTCTGGGGAGTCTAATCCCCAATCCTCTTCAGACTATTGGTTTTTTCCTACCACTTGTATGACACCAAAGTTCTTGGAAATTCACAAATTTTCTCAACTTGAGGTATCTAAAATTAACTTGTTTGAAACTTTTAGCTTACTTTGACTCTAGAGCGAAAAAAAAGAGTCGAAAAAGATCTACGTTTCCTGATTCAAAGTTGGACTTCCCCCGCCTCTTTTCAAACTCTGTGCGGCCTTTGCTTTATGTACAGGCAAAGAAAGAAAAAGCATTGACTATGATAAGGATGACGACAATAATTGATAACGATAATGATAACTTACATGCTGACGTTAACGATAGCGAACGCTGACGATAACGATAAAGAGAACGACAGTAATTATAATGAGAGTGATAATGATAGTAATAATGTTTGTGATAATAATAATAATGATAATGATTATAATAATAATAATAATAATAATAATAAGAATAAGAATAATAATAATAAGAATAATGGTGATGATGATGAAAAGTTCCAGCTACTAACCTTTGCTATCAACACGTCGGATGTGAAAAAGCATTTTGCTACTGTACGATCCATCAAATGTGACTGTAAAAGAATCCCACTTGATCAATTTTCTTTTTAAGAGTAGATCTGAGCTGCTACCATAAGACCTGAAGATTTCTTGTCCATTAGGCAGTTCTATCCGAAAATATCTTGCATTTTTTAGGACTAGTAGCTGAATAGCAAAACCAGCACTTGCCTCTGTTTGAACTTTTATTTGGCAGGATACCTCTAGATCTGAGAAAGACACGAATGGTGCCCTAAAGTAAACGAATACATCGTGATCCATGACATTCACCACTTTTTGTGGGGAGCACAGATTAACTTTCCCGTATATATCAATCCAATCACCGTATGCTTCATGAAAACTCAGACCAAACTCGTTTTTTATTGATTTGACGTTTTTAAGTGTTGCATTGCTTTTGGTACTGATAAAATCAATTCCATTTCCTCCAGTATTCAGGAAGGAACTGTTCGTTATAATCACCTCTTTTTCTGGGAACCAAACCTTGATACCACCTGATGTGCAGTTAAGAACAGTCACATGATTTACTTTTGGAACGTACTGAATCATTTCAATGGCAGCCACGTTTTGGCCATGTTTCTCGCCACAGTGCTCAATTCTTAGGTGTTGTAAACTTGATGTTGAAAGGTTTGAGGTGTCCCTAGCTTCGCGAAGAAATCTGATATTTCCCCAAGGCCTTCCTTCGCCACAGTTCAACACAAGATGATACGACATATTGCAGCTTTGGTTTTGGAAAGATAAAGAGCATTCTGCTAAATCCAACTCACTTCCTTTACAATGAAGAGCAGCACAAGCATCCCGAGGGCCGGACGAATTGTGATGGGAGTGATTTATGGACAATGGTGCTTTATAGCCCAGGTGTTCACATATCAGTTTTGCGTCATTAGTTTTCGTGTCCTGTGTCTCATTGAAACACAGTGAGGTCCAATTCCAGTTGTGTAGTATCTCTACACGTCCTTCCCAAGGGAACTTGCCTCCGGTTAATCGAATTTTAAGAGAATCGTCACCTTTTGTCCTTTTTGAAAGAGAAAATTTAACAGGTTGATCTACATTTCCGCCCACAAAGAGTGAACCAAGAACCAACATGCCGACCCTTGGCTTAAAATGCATCTCAACACCAGGGTCAATTGAAAGAGAAGCTTCAGGCAGAATAGTGACATCGGACACAACTGTATAGGGACTTTTCTCTTTTCTTAGAAGAACGTTCGATAAAATCCTTCCTCCCAGAAAGCTTTTCGAGAGCGCGTTAAAGGTGGTATTTTCTTCTGAACCCTTTATTGTGCTTCCTGCATTACTGATGTAAGGACGAAAAACAGCAAATGCGTATTCGTACTCGTCTTCAGCATGAAAAATTCTCTCCTTGATTTTTTCCTCGTCATCATAACCCCAGAAGTTTAATGCAGCCTGCAATGTGCTGCTATGCGAAGAAACATGGGTGTATGCACAAAGTTCTTTTGAGAAGTCCTGGCTGCTAAATCTGTTGAAATTAATGAAAAATGCTCTCCATTCCATTCCATTCCATTCCAAAGTAAACCCAGAGACTTCTAACTCACAGGTTGGGGAACTTGATGATACAGCCACGTTGTTCAGGAGCGAATTGTTCAAAAACGTTACATTCTTCATGCCAGTGTTCACTCCTAAAACGTATTCGCACTGGAGAAGAACCATAAACTGCCCTTTATTCGATTTAAGGATGTTGTCGACAATTGCGATGTCTTCACTTATCCTCTGAATCTCAATGACTCCACTATTCAGGCAGCTGTTGTTTGTGAAGACGTTACTTCTTATAGTTGCACCTGAAGGAGAGGTTCTTTCTATATAGACAGATCTCCCATGGTTTTGTTTAAAGATGTTTCCTTCTATGATCAGAACTTTTGTGCCTCCTATTATGTCTATGACGCTTTTATCTTGGCAAAAGTTGAACAAGAAACTATTGTTTCTCACAAATATTTCAGGGGTGTAGTATCTATTCGTATAACGCGTAGTCAAAATAACAGGACCTTGAGTGTTATTCAGGAAGAGGTTACCGTCAAATTGCCATGGATTAGAGTGTGGAGACACGTTGATGTCTATTACAGGGCCTCGGTTGGCATAAAATGTACAGTTTATGAAGGAAGTGTGAGATGAACAAGGCGAATTGCAACCATAATAACTACGCGAATAAACAGAAGATGCCTTATTCCATCCAAAAAATATCTTGGTTGCAGAAAGTTTCACTTTGGTATAGCTACCATCCAGAAAAAGCCCATATCCATTGCTATGGAAAACACCACTATTTTCAATATTGATTGTTTTTTCACCGTTCGTGTCCACATATAGTCCATTTTCGGTCGAGTTAGAAGTCTTGGTGTTCTCGATATTCACGTTACCTGAAAAAGAAGAGAGCTTGATTCCAATCTTGTTTCTAACGAAGTGGCAATTCAGCAGCTTCAAGCTGTTAACGTGGGAAAATGCAGTCGATAAGCCATTCTTGGGTGACTCTCGTACGTCCGTTTTTTGGATTTCAACTATTCCTGCGTTATCTCCACCCAAAAAAATTCCACCTTCACTGTTGTGGCTGAAATTGCTTTTGGATATAACAAGGTTTGGTGATCTGATCTTCGTCTTTCCACCACCTGTTCGTTGAAAAGAAAAATAATTGTTTATGAACACAAATCAGAGCCTTGCACAACTTTTTTCTGACATAAAGCATGTCTGCGAAAAAAAAGAATTAAGGGAAATTTCCTTCGATCGCGATCAGTAACTGACTTTTTAATTAGTATTCAAAACTTTTCATTAATTTCATAACATAATCAGGTGATGAAAGTGGTTATTAAATAAACTTTAGGCCCTTTGATCACAAAAAAGGCATTCCGATCCTTGCAGTGCAACTCTGCCCACCTCATTACGAGTAAAGGGGTGCATTTGACAGCCTCACAAAATACATTAATACAGAACAAAACTCGATTATTCAGATCATTATAAAATTTTAAAAAAATGTTTTTAAAACAGCAAAATGGTGAATCATCATCCTCAGTGATGACTTATGTCCTTTTGTTGACATAATGAAAATCACCAAAGGATCCATTAATGGAGTACTTTTTCTTGAAATGTCACCACCGATATGATCGATCTCCTAATGAAACAGTTCATTTCCTTAAACTTCTCTTTACAGAGGTAATAGGATTTGTTAATCACAAGTATGATTACAGACAGAATCGGACGACACGAAGTCCTGTCACCAATCAACTAAAACTATGAAAAAATTTGAGGAAGGACCAAGACATCGGTTATACCTTTTCATAAAAAAAACCAAAGTGAACTCGGCGAAATGCGAGAAAACGGCGCGCGCACATGACGCGATCTGTCCACTTACACATGTCACTCTGTCCAATTATAAGTATGACGCATACACTGTCCTATAAGTGTCCAAATTGGGCTGGTGACAACCAGTCACCTTGGAGAATTTTTTCATAGTTTTGATTACACTAAAATTGTGGTCAAATTCTTCCACGGGGAAGAAGAACTGTAGAATTTGCATAACCCTAACTGTGTGGCTTAAAGGATCTTTTGCACACAGCGTCCAAATAGCATCTGGAGGCACGGTTCAAAGCCCATCGAAGCCTGAAGCTTATTTTTTCAATTGCAAAAATTGCAGTCTACCAACGGAGATCGTTGCTTAACCTGATATGTTTAAAACAATAGCTGAACTTACTTTTGATGAGGAACAATAGAAAATGCACCGTGTCGTCTTCATCCGGATATCCATACCCTTTCTCCAGCAGGATTGAGCTATTGCCAGTCATCCAAGCAGGACGGCTATACCATTGTAACATATGGATATCCCAGAGAGTGCCCTTTGTCTTGTTTGTTCCATTGTACACGTGGAAAGCTATGCTATGTACATTGTGATAGATTAGCTGCAATCCTATCGTATATTTCGGAGGAACGGTAATTATGGCCTTGCAGGCTGCTCTGCTCCGTAATGTCACAACCAGATAATACACCACACTAGAGTCACTAATAAATGTTTCACTTTCAGTGCATATGTCCATAAACTTCTTCACGGTCGCATCTGCCATTTTTACCACGTGTGTGTTGAGAGCATTCCAGTTGTAACGATACGAAAATCCGTAGCCTTTTGTGTTTACGACATTTGTACTCAGGAACTCAATAAATGGAGACTCCAAACGTACTCCATCCGACTCGGTTTCAGCTATCGTTGAATTCTCGATTGTATTTGAATCTTTTAAGGGGTCTGGATACATAATCTGGAAACCAATGGAAGCAGAATTACTCACAAAGACACCGCTGATCACGTGACGTGGGAGGTCCACTCTGAAGGCGATTCCGGGGATAGTCAGGTCGTCTCTATATGGAAAACCTGCATATCGCACCTCAACATTGCTTAAGACGCTTTCCTTTGAAGTCACAGCGAGATGTACGCCAGCCCAGTAAGGAATTTTGCAACCGACATACAAAACATTTCTCGTGCATGATGAAGATGAAATCCAGTTTCTTTTGTTACAAATGGTGATGCTGTCTCCTTGATCTGTATCGCATTTGACATTATGTAGGAATATTTTCTCTTTTCCACTTGGGTTATGGTAATAAGAGTTTACCGGTTCGTATCCCAATTGTCTGCATACTATGTCATCTTCGTGTCCATAGGTATGCACACAAACTGGCATCCACGTGCTATTGATCCATATCTCAACCACCCCTTCCCACGGAGCGGGACCTCCGACGAGTCTAATGTCCCGAAGCAATGGTCCCCTTGGAAGGAACTTCACCCTTTCTTTTTTATTACCTTTTATAATAACCTTTCCTTGCACTAGGAAAACGCTCTTCAATGGAAATTCTAAAGTGATGTTTCCTTCGATAAACAAAACGCCGTCAGACAATATTGTGACGTCACTGATAACTCGGTAGGCATCATTTGGGTTTGTAATATTGAGGACATGATTTAATGTTCCTCCTAAGTTGTTGCCTCGAAGAAAACAGAGAGGTCTGACACCATCGAGTAATTTAGGGCTGGTAGAATTGTAGGAATCTAAAAATGGATAATACTGGATCTGTGCAAGTTCCACTCGATCTTCAAAGTCAAACAATCGGTCTTTTATTTTGCATTCATCTCTTGTTCCCCACCAGTTTTCTTCCGTAAGAAGAACGTGTTCACGGTCTTTAAGCAGTGCTGCTAATTCGTGAGAGAACAAAGGGTTGATAAATGAATTGTACTTTATACTAACATTGCCTCCTTTTACAGCTAAAACTGCCTGCGTTTTGGTACGAAGGTAATTGCTGGAAAACAGCCGGATTCTTTGATTGTCTAGAAACGTGTTGTTTCTGATGGTGACACGGCATTTTGTGGGTAACGTTTCGCAATCAACGAAAAATATGTTCTCCCCTTTATTCTTCAAAAATATGTTCGATGAAACCTGTAGATTGAAGGGTGAGGAATTCTCATAGGAACACCTTCGCCCATGTCTCACTATCAGAGCAAGTCCACTGTTCTCGTAATATATGTTATCAGCCAAAACAGCAGATAACACGTACCATTCTGGGCCATAGATATCCAAACCATTCTTTTTGTTTCCCTTTACTTTATTACCAGTGAATAAAAGTTGAACGCTCCTTTGCCACCGATTGTTTCCCCAACCGCAATCTGCAGGATAGAGCATACAACCACCAAGATAATTGTTGAAAATTGTGGAGTTTGCAACCTTAATGACATAGTTCTCCGGGCGTTGATCAATTCTATACGTGAGGTAAAACAGCACACCGTATTGACTGTTCCCTGAAACATTACAGTTTAGAAGATGAACTGAACGAAGACGTGCTGACTTGGTATCTAGAAACCACAATCCTTGTCGTTTGTTGCCACCAGCAATAAAATCCTTTAAGACAACTTCTCCTCCTTGATTTTCCACGTAAAAACCATCCTTGCCGTTACCAAAAGAAGACGAAGACTCTATGTTTATGCTGGTATCCCCAAGTTCGAAAGCATAACCAGATCCGTAATTGTTTGAGGTAGAAATCTTCTCCAAGTTAAGTCCTCCTCTAAAAAAGTAGGTAGCGTAAACTCCTATATTTGAGTTTCCATCAAATTTACAAGAGCTGAAATTTAATCTGGTATCGGATAATCTTGTAAACAGAGCCCCATTCTGCGAATTTCCAAGAGACAGTACTTCCAGAAGTCGAACATAGCAGTAGCGAAATGCCTGTAAATAAACTCCTTCACCGTTATTGTTACGAACAAATTGCGTATTGTAAATGTTGATTGTGGAGTTGACCTGGTTTAAGATGTGCAATCCTTGACCGCCATTTTCTTCAACAAGGCTGTCGGACATTTGGAACAAAAGAGTTCCTGCATCGACTACGATTCCTTTCGCTTGGTTTTTCGATGATTTGACGTCGGTAAATTCTAAAGTACCTGTTGCCTTGGTTATGTAGAGTCCGTTGTAGTTGTTCCCTATCACCGTTGTCCGGGAGATACGAGAATTACAAATCAAGTTGTCAACGGTAATACCAGACTTAGCGTTGTTAGAAAAGGTACTGTTAGATATCACAAGTGATGAAGTCCCGCCTACAAATGATCAAAAGCCGATGGGTTAGTGTTACGAAGAGCATACATCATCCAAAGTAATTTATAGACTTATTGAGGCCAGCCATTTTGTCTTCGTATTGAATAGTTAATTACTTCTTTTGCTCGATTCTTTATTGAGTAACTAGCTTACCTATTGACTAACTGACTTAGCGACCGACTGACTGATCGAAAGAACCTCCCACAAAAAGAACAGGTAAACGACCAAATGATCGACCGTCAGACAGACCGAAGGACTGACGGACCGACCGAACTGCTCAAGCGAACAGCAGATAGACAAATTCGTCTTACTTATAGACATAACTAGAAACAGAGCTACCTTGATCTTCCATAACGACTATTTCCAAGTTAGAACTGCCTTTAGAGTAGAAGGAAAGTTCCAATATAGAAGTATAACCAGTCTTAAATGTCCTTCCATTGTAGTCACTTGTAATTCTGTGCAGTTGGGTTTTGATATCTGTGCTTGCATCGGTAATATTAAGCTCGAATCCACTTCCATTTATTATTCTCAAATACATAGAGATCTTTCTTCCTGGTGAAGCTCTGAAAATCTTAAGAATGCAAATTTTTTTTTTATTCATTTCTTTCACTGGAAGAGTTTTGAAAAAAAAAAGGAAGCCGCATAAAGATAAATGTCTTTAGGTTACAAGGTACGGCTATTCCTATAGAGGTGCTCAATCGGGTAACTTCCTTCCATGAAACCTGGCTCAACATTTTGACTATTTAGATGTCTTTTACGAGTACTTTCCTATTGAGGAAAAATATCCTAAAAATAACATTCGACAGGTGCGAACTTACTTAGTTTGACAGATGAAAATGGAAGAAGAGGCATTATCTTCCTCTACCCTTCAAAGAAAACTTATTTTTTCAATCGTTGGCTATTAGTTTTACATATTTGAAAGCTGGTGTCTGCATATAGGGAAGACTTGATCTTCCATCCTCCATATGGAAGAATGATCTCCCCTATTGTACATGAAAAATCCTCCCCTTCGTTAAAAAAAAAAAACAAAAAAAAAAAAAAACAAAAAAAACACCACCCATAACAAGTGTCCTGTCTAATTCACATTATTTCGATAATCATTAAAATATTTTTTTTCTTTCAAATCTAATTAAATAGCCAAGGATCCAGAACTTTCAGCTCATGGAGACCGCGTTGTTTTCCTCAAAGGATTCGCCGGGTTTGATAGAAAAATTAAATCCCTCACTATTGGAAGCTTGTCGTTCTACCTTGTAAAATCTTGAATGAAATATGTACCAAAATGTGACAAAAACCTGTACATTTTAACTACAGTTCAGGAAACTTGAACCAGAAGTCGACTAAAAAAATCTGTTTTCGAAAAGGCGTTGGGTATTTATAGGTATTCCACAGTTTACATTAGATTGGTTTTGAATTCAAAGTTTTTTTTCTTTTTACCAAATCACTCAGACATTTTAACTAAAACACTTGATCCTACCTTACTACAATCAACCAGATGATGATTTCCAGCGGCATTTAGGAGCAAAGGAAAAGAAGCTTTCTCTGGGATGACGGAACAGAAATTCACTGCCAGGCGCTTATAGATAAGGCCTCCTCCAAATCGTGCATTCTGAACTGTGACGTTTTCAATGATAACATCACCACAGGAGTTCTCGATGTTCACACCAGCCAGTTTAGGCCCCAGGATAGAAGAATCGATCACAGCCAAGGGTTTGGCAAGTTCTTTTATATTTAAACCGAAAGCACTACCGTTGATCATTACATGAAGTAAATCTGGGGCGTTTTTCACGGCATTTACGCCCTCGAGAGCATTCTCAATGTCCACGTGCTCAAGACAAGAGCTTCCTTTCATCTCAGAGGAATTCGTTAGCTCGAAGTAAATACCTTTCCAGTAAAAAATCTCGGCCAAATATGGCAAGAGAGTGTCACACTCGATACCAACGTCCCGGCTGTGAGCTGAAATATGTGTCGTTGTAATGGAAAATAAAAGGGATAAAAATAGAAATGTGGTTATGACTTAAAAGTAGCAAATTTTGTACCTTGACGCTTTTACGAAAGTCCTTATTGATATGGATTCTGGGAACCTGGACACAACCTCTTCCTCCCTTGATCTATGCTCTGTTTCTCTAAAAATTAATAAAATTGTATTACGGTTTCAAGTTGGGCGGGTGAATTGGCCATTCAGGACAATTTTATATTCATATGGAGAATTTAAGTCCTCTACCCGAGAGCCACACGAAGTGTTCAACTTCATAGCAAAAATTTCATGTCACGAAATCCAAATTTAACTCAGCCTGATGTCTAAGAAAACTGAAAGAAAATTGAAAAGAGCGTAAACCAAGCATTCAAATGCTTAGCGAAGTCTGAACTTGGGATCATTCATTCTCCTCACAATATCGTCACTGAATCTCACATTGAGGTCATGAGAATAAAAAAAATAATCACCAACTAACGAAACTCTTGATTGTTAAACAAATTCTCCTTGTCAGCATCATAGTGAATTTACAGAGAACAGTAAGGAGAATATGAATACTGATGTTAGGGTGTAAAGGCTTAATGTATACATCACGGACGTTTTTTGGGAGGAGAGGTTGTCTCTGGTACCCAGTTCCACAGAAACGGTGACTAAGACGTTGAGAAACCGCGCATTTGTCACCTGTACTTTATAACTAGTGAGACAGGATCTCAGTTTCAAAAAAATGCTTTTTGTAGCAAAAGCTTGTCTTAAAACATGAATTAAATGGAATTTACCCGACAAAATGTGAGGGCATATTTCTATCCCCTCTTGTGCATATTCACCCCATGCAAAGTCACAAGGCAGAGAAAGATGTTAAGTTACTTTGGTTACATGGAAAAATTAAATAGTTTTGTCGTTAATCACTTGCTTTACGGCCAGAAAGAGAATATTTCCATGGAGAGGCACATGTGCAAACAACAAATGCTTTGCTTAGGACTAAAATGAACTTACCACATGAATACTGATTACTCATAATCCATCTGTAAGAACAATCCCATAGACTCTTTTCAGTTCCTTTACAGCCAACTGTCTTCATCATCACGGGGCCGCTACCGGGATAATAGTAATGCCGCTTTCCCCCAAGGAAGCCAAGATGTCTGCAGGCCACGTGCGTATCTCTGAGATCCCAAGAACTCCAGTCGTTGCAGACAGTCCCCCACCTTCCATTATACTGCAGCTGTAGGCGCCCGTTGTTGTAGGATGATCCATCTACAAGTCTTATCCCGTGACTGTAGAATAAAGCCCCGTCTGTTTTATTGCAAAAACTTGTTTCTCCACAGGGAACCGCTCGGAAAGTAATTCTCTGCGACGGTGTACCTTTTGCATGAAACGATCCACGAACACGAATCCCCACATATGGAACAAAATTTAGAATTGCACCAGGCTCTATGGTTAGAGTGGCATTTTCTGGGACAATAAGGTCACTGGTGACCAAGTATGGACCATCTGCACGCGCAAGGGTCTGGTTACCAGTGACAGTGCCATTCAATTGCCGTGAAATATTTTTCTCGTTCTCACAAAGCCCATACCCGAGAAAGATGGCCAGTAGAATGCAGTATTTTAGAAACATCGTGCCGGTCTACTCTAACCTATTGGTAAGGAGGAATAAGGATGAACTGGAATCAGTAGACATAGTTCACCTCAAGACGAAAGAAACAGTTTTTCCCCTAATATTCGTCCTTTTAGATGATGTCACGAACCCCTCGTATCCCAACTACTACATTGCAAACTTTGTCAAATAAGGATAGGGGAGTGCAGGGAAGGGGGAGCGCGGGGGGGATAATCCACGCTTCTGTTACCCTGCATTGGTACTTCCAATGGCTATGAATTAGGGAGAAGGCAGCTATACACCAAAGCTAGGTGGTTGGCGCTCTCCAATTGATGGGAGTCAAGCGACATATCCCTATCTGTGAATATATGAAAGTCATATATTTGAACTGCGAAGATCACTTTCATATTCACATATCTCTATTGGGAAATTGTGCATCGGTGGCGTAGTCGCAAAAGACTTGGGACGAAAAATTAAAGTTGAAGAAACTACTTCCTGCAATTGAAATTCTTCGCACCTTACCTATGGAGATCGGGATCAGAGATTTTTAGCGAGTGCTTTGTTTTTTCTAGGGTATAAACTAACTTTCCTCAAATACTCCTGAATGAATTTAAACTTGGTGTCATTCCGCGATAGGACAAGACGCGACAAGACGCTTTAAACATTAATTGCTTGACTGAAGTGAGATCTAGATAAGTCATGTTTTCATTGTTGTAACACTCGTAAGCTCTTGGAGATCATTCACTAAAGAAAAGGCAGCCCGAGAAAGTTGCTAAATCATTTAGCTCGGTTTTCAAATAAAGAGATGCATGATTTGGTTTAGAGCGTGGAACAATGAAAAATTCTGAGTACTCTAAGAGGAGTCATCCCCCAGAATTTCGTGCAGTAAATCAGAATTAGCTTTACATCTGTACCTTGCTGAACCGTTGAGAAACGCTTAGTTCAGGTAAATTATTTTCAGTTATTTTGGAAACGTCATGAAATATGCATTCTTCGTCGACTTTGACGAAGAATAGAGAATTTGTTCAAATATCTGCTTCAAAGGGCAAAGGATATGTTTCGTAATGGTAATAGGACCGAGTGGAATCCAATTCGGTCTGTAATTATACGAGTGATTAACAAAACCGGACGACCGCGAAGCAGGAGTTTAATTAACTTCCGTGTAATTTCCTGCAAAATTTCTTTCATTGGGACGTCGGTGCAACCTTAAGCTCGTCCAACTCCACACTGAGTGAAGTGCAACGCTGTTCAAGTGACACAATGACGTCATTGTGAGTAATTTTGGGATAAGCAGCGCTATCACCCAGCTGCACGTTACTCCTGTTTCGTATATTAAAAACTCGATCTAAGTTCCGAAACCACCTGTTTCGTAGTCTAATGTTGATTTCTGCGGAGTTGTCGATTTCAGTAGATCTCATTTTGAATTAATCAGCGTAAATGCGCACAATTATCAACATTCCGCTCATATTTGGTATGCTCTTCGGTTAAAGACTAATATTTCATTAACCAAAGTTGTCTTACCTGAAGTAATTACAGCCTCCTTTTCAGCAAAATGGGAACAGAAAACCTCATATCAGGTACCCCGAAATGCGCTTTGAAAACGCATGATCTCGAGGTATTGCACTATCCTGACAAGTTATCTTGTTTTTATGTGAACGATGCAACAATTCAGAGAACTGTAGCCATCTTTGATTCGGAGACATAAGAGGTGAAGCGATGTCATATTAAATAATTTTCATCAGTCCAGGTTTCCTCACTTCGTGACACGACGCTCCGAGATTCGTCTTAAATTTTAAGCTTCAAAAGGGGCATTTTGACGGAATTCAGTTAATTTTTTCGAAAAAATATCGAACTTCTAGCAAACGAGGTATGTACTGATTTGTTTGACCCAGAAGCTAACCTAACCTAAGAATATGATCCGAATATGATCCGAATATGATCCGAATATGATCCGAATATGATCCGAATATGATCCGAATATGATCAGAAAATATTCGAGTTTTGGCCACATTTGCTCTTAACAGGCAAAATTAAAAGAAGCGAAGTTTAAGCACGGAACCTAGAAGTTAGAGGTAGAGGAGCAGTGAGCTTCTTGGGCAGGCCCCCCATAATATTGCTATTATTATCATTATTATTATCATTATTATTATTATTATTATTATTATTATTATTATTATTATTTGTGGTAATGTGATTATTTTTTACCCTTTAATTATTGGTTGAATGTCAATTAATCACTATATTTTTTAATCGTTTTTCTCTTGTGGAACATGGTACTCATAATTATGTGGGATGCGGCAGGTTTTCTTCTTTTCATGTCCAGACAAATATTCTGAAAAAGTATCTTCTAACGTCATTGTTCAACCTCTCTTTCTGTTCGATGCTCTAGTAATTGTGCTATATCAGTAGCTACACGCAGTCTTAAGCTAACAATTTTTTTTTTGGTAAGGAATCTTTGAGGGCTGACTGGTGTTACAAGAATGCGAACATCACGTACTCCCTCCTGTCACGCAATGTTCAAAGCTCGTTGACGCTTTTCGTTATTTCGTTGATAATAAGTTTCCATGGAGGCAAAAATAGGTAATAATGAGACAGGAAATCCCGATAGAGATCGATATCGGCTTTCTCGAATACAATCAGAAGCAGTTTAGTAAACTGAGGGCTCAATGAATACCTTGAACAAACACGAGCAACCGCTAAAAATGTACTGGTCACAATTGCCATATGTTCGGCAAGGAAAAGGGAAGTAGCTTTGTGTCCGTGCCTTTTCCAACTGTTTAGAAATGGCCATTTCACTCGGGGAATATTAAGGTATTTTTTGGAAATGTCTCGAACTGTGCATCCTTTGTTGATGTTACCTAAGAACGGAGACTACGTTACAATTTCCGCTTCGAAGCGGGCTGAGGACAGATATAGACTCGAATCAGTTGTAAAGATAAGCGCAGAATTATACTCCTCTGAAATCAAACTAGAATTAGTCTTTCCAATTTTCCACCCCTCTAAGGATACTTTTTCGTTTGTCTGTTCTCGGAACAATCTACATCAATCACTAATTTCCCTTGGTAACTGGTAAAGATTGTCCACAAAAAAGCTCTGAACACACACCGTACAAGTCAGACCACTGTGCCTTTCATCAATTTTTCTGATAGCTACAGACGAACAAATGGACTAGTTTTCCTGTAATTGGAGCAATATGTCAATTCTGAAGCTTCATGCAAAACAACACTGACGAAAAATATCAACGAGTTGATCTCTTCTCAGAAATAGCACACGTTTGATTAATCCACGAATGTCATGATATTCATACAATTATGTGATATTTTACATGGGAATTTTGCGACTGAAAATCGCAGTTGTTCTCGATACCTTTCGCCTTTCCTTTTACTGATGAGAAATTGCATCTTTGAAAATCCGCTATACAGTTCTATGGTGGAAAATGCCTCAGAGGAATCAAACGAAAACGGTCATAGATGATCAAAGCTAGTTTAACTTTCGGGCGAGTATAGAAACCCGCATATCAGTAGTAACAAATGGTAGTTCAATTTGAAATTATTGATTCGTCGCTTTTCCCCTGGTGATCAACTGAAATGTACGATGATCATTATAAGAGAGATGAAATCAACGTTTTGCACTACAAGAATTTCTCTCGGGGACCGTTGTTCTTAAGAAGCAATCGACCCTATAAAGCAATTCCCGGAAATGTGGCCTTTACTAAATGTAATTAATGTGTCTCGCTTGCTTACAAACTTTACGAAGACAAATTACGGGGAAAGTATATTTCAAGCCATCGAATACCATTTCTACTTTTAATTGAAAACCTCGGCGTGACAGTGCGCAAAGATCACAAGTTAAGTTGACTCAGTGCAACCTCAAATTAAACAGTTTCCTCATAATCACGAGGTGACCTGTATGTGTCCAATTATGATTAGGAAGTATATCTAATCTTCGAAACACATTCGATCTCAGTATTCAAACATACGCATCAATCATAGAACTTTTAGGTCTCTGCCATTTCTTTGGATTTCTGTTTCTCTGCAGAGTATATTATTTCACAGTTTGTTCTGTTGGTTGATTATCTTCGCATCACACAATGAGTTAGTCAACGAGCATTGAATATTACAAAAATGGACGTCGTGTCTTTGTTAATCAAAAGCTGTGACCTCTTTGCTCATGATAGAGCAGCAATCGTTCATTTTAGCCCAAAGAATACCATGCTGTAAACCATAATCAAAATGCTCCGTGCGATTAAAATACTTCGTGCAAAGAAGTTTAACAACCTAATTCTATGGGTGAAGTACTTCGTCCAGAGCGCCTTGAAAGTGATCCAAACAGAAGCGTGGCCTCCAAGGAATGGAATCATTGGAAAATAACGTTCGACAACATTGTAGCAGCTTCTAGCATTTTTCGTAGCATGCCGTGAGCATAAACTACATTATAGTACATTATCAATCTGGAGAGCATTAAGAAAATGAGAAACGAAAAAAATGGCCAGAACTAGACTCAAAAATTCAAGGAAAAAGAAGTACCAAATATCCAATTATTGTAAGACATGCAGAATTAACAGATAAACAAGCCCTCCTCTGAAAAAAACCAAAAATATTCTGAATATCTATCTTATCGAAAAGAAGTTTGTTATTGACTACACAAGTATGTTAGAAAGGTTTGCAAACGTAAACATTGTGAGTAGTTCATGAAAAGCCGAACTGTCCAACTACAGACAAGAGAGTGGCTTCTTTCCGTAACGTTTTTCGTCACATTCTGTAATGTAAGCGGTTTCAATTTCTTTCCAGACGGCAAGATTTCAAAGTAAGAAATTTCCCAGATCTTTTAGCGTAACGTCACGTTGCGTAACTTTTCTATGTGATATCAAGGGTCGCCTTGGAACATTTGGTAGTTCTAAGAAATCAAGAGATTCATAAAAAGACATTACCGAGAAACGATTAATAAACCGCGAATTCAAAACACTACGAAGACAAATGAACTCCTCAAAAAAGGCTCATCAATGTTATGATGTTTCTGGC